AGTCTGGGTGTACTTTGTGTCCGTTTCATGTATGTTTGTAAAGTCCTCCGCGACACAGGATTTATTCCTAGTGCGGGAGTTGTCTTTTAAAAAAAAAAAAAAAAAGTTGGTGATAACGGTGATAACGCATCAGTATAAACAGTATTGTCTTGCCTGTCTGGAACAGCCGAAGAATACCCACGACGGCTTTCAGTGGTCGAGGCTTCTGGTCTATAATTCGAGTGTGTCGAGTATCCATAGCGATACTGCCCACTGCTTGTGGTTTCCGGTCCATATTCAGTTGAGTATCCTTGACCTTGGCGATATTGTCCACTGAACGATGTTTGTGGTCTATATGATCTGGCGGCCGATGTCCCTGGTTCATAATCAACATAACGTTGACGAAACGGACTTAATTCGGAATCGTGAGTTTCCATTTGAGCTCTTTTTATAACTTCAATTAACTCAATTTTTGTAGAAAGCTTACGATGTCTCGGGATGTTTTTAAAATCATTTAGAAGTGAAAGCATAAATAGTCTTTCTGAATCAGACTCTTGCTGTCTTTTACGCTCTTCTCTCATTACAATACTTTCCCTTAATACCTGCACCAAATTATCGTCGTCATTTGTCTTCTTCTTTTTGGAAACAGGTCGTTCACCTTGAGTACTACCGCTGTTGCGTTGGTTTCGGCAGTGCGTGTTTCATCCATGCTATTTTGAGTTTCATTCATTTGTACGGTGGGCCGAAGAAAATGAAGTTGTTCGAAATATACGTATGGACTCTTGCGCGAAGCTGCTGATCCACTTTTAACACCAGCTCTGCGTTTTACTTCCCTGCTTTAACTAGTCCTGATGTTCTTCCACTTGCTCTGTAGAGATTTACCTGAAAATTATATTTGTTCTTTGTTACAGATATCTTGCTAGAGCTTGTCTAACTTGAAATGACGCGCCCCACTACTTCACTAGTTGATATAATTGTGTGAGTGCTAATATTTACAACGACATTATGTCTCTGTGCGAGTATCTTCTTTTTCGTGATCTACGATCTGTTTGCAAACATCGCGGTTGACTAATCGCGTGATAAATCCGGGAACGCTCTCTGTGTGGAGTAGCGCTGGCTTGTTGTATGAAACAAGACATCCGCTTGCTCTCGCGTTTTACGAAAAATAAACTAGTTGAGCAACAAATCTGAGAACAACCGTTCCTTAGCAAGTACAATCACAAGCAAAGAAATTGAAATCAAATAATTTATTAATTTTTGTTTATGTTTTGTCTTTGCGTGTATTACGCGCTTTTATTAAAAAGTGCTAAGTATACATTCATGAGTAGGTATCTAAATTAAGCAAAATAATATTTTATGAATCATTTATTTCAAATTTAAATACAGGTACAATTATTATTTATAGCAGTTAAGAATTAGGTATATAAAGTGTCACTATTCACTCATCTCAATAGAATCGCTTTCATCAGAATCAGAGTCGTTAACATAAATCATAAATTCATTATCCATGTCAAAAAATTGAGAGTATTGTTTTTCTGTCTTCAATATGCCGACATGTATTTGCCCAAATTGTTTGATCAATCATTTCGAGTCGTTCATTTATAAGTGCCATAATGGATAATAAATTTTGTTCAACATTTTTATTTGCTACGTAGTTCTTTAATATCCCCGATATCTTTTCAATGGGATTTAGTTCGGGGTGGTAAGAGGAGTCGTAAAATTTCAAACCCTTTTGATCGAATTAGTTCGTCAATAACATACCTTTTGAATCTATCCTTATTTCGTAAAATGAGATTGTATAGTTCTATTTTTTTCATTGTTTCTTCATAAGGAATATTTTTTTCAGCAAGCCATGTTCGCATGGCATGCATATTTGAGTTAGTGTTAGGCACTTTTTCTGATAAAGCTTTGTGATATGAAGCGTTATTTACGACAATGACAGCGTGTTCTGGGAGATTGGGTAGTAATTTTGTGGCGAGCCACTTTTTGTAATTTGCCACATTCATATTGTCATGATAATCTCCACTCGTGCTTTATACACTAAACAAGCATTTGGCACAAATCCTTTAGATCCACCGGCATGAACAATTATGACCCGCATACCTTTAGATAACTTTTTTGTAGTGGCGATACTCCATTTACTGGTTTCCAGCACATTTTTTGAATATGCGTTGTATGAACATAACTTTCATCTGTGAATACAAAATATCGGCCCTCATCGCGATATTTTTTTTAATTGCCTCAAATATCGAAAGCGCAGCATTTGTATGTCTTGATTTTCAACTAGAGCAAAACGGTTGTCATCCATTGTCGACCATTCGTAGCCAGATTCTTTCAAAATGTGTAGCCGCTTTTCCTCTCAGGCGGACTACTCACCGGCTGACCCAGTGGAGAGATTTATGAGATAACCTCAGGGCGCCTTTTTAAGAGAACAGATGTGTGTGCGTGTGGGATACCTATGGGACCCCTTAGAGAAAAACAACTTACACCTCAGTCATACATACATGTATATTAAAAAAACACAAAATTAAGGTTACAATAAAAAAAAACAGAGGGTATAAGAAAAACCGCAGCGGAGCGCGTCAGAGCCGAGCTGATGGTGCTCGGTGCCTCCTCGTCTTCACTCCAGGAGGTTACTTCCTCTTCCGCCCGAGTCGGCTATTTATATTAGATAATGATAAAAGTTCAACAATTTGCATTTATAAGTTTATAAGTAAGTACGTAACCCTTGGGTACGGCTGTCCGCTTGCGTCATGAGCCGCGCAATCACCAGCTTGCCAGAGGGTACCGAGAAACTTGAGTCTGAACCAGAAGGCCACAAACGAGCAAGCACGCCGTCTGAGACTGACCGTCTTGACCCCAAAATCTGGGACCCTACGAATGGATTAGCACTCATATAATTAATCAGGTTCCAGAAACAAATAGGTAAAAAAAGAATTAAGACCATACTCACCACTCTCTCACTTCTTACTTTTGAACAAATAATATATTACGAAAATCAAATCACACAACAATCAAAACACTATTTAAGATTGGAAGACACGAGATAGCAGAGTGTCTCCCGTTGCTGAAAGCCGGACTTATATATCCTCGGTTCCCGAAGCTTCCAGAAATTACCCCTACTCAACATTTTACTTTGACATTTAAATTGTGAACGAAGACAACACTAACAAAATCAAAAGTAACTTGCTTTGTACCATAACAGAACACTCTCAATACCTATACAATTTGTCACGATAAATCAATACTGACTTATCCACAAACCAAAACGCCATCTAGTGGTCCGACAGTGAACGCAGAAGATCAATACTGTAGTTATAAACTACTTTAGATAAATCAACAACAATGCAACGCGGCCAATAGGTGTCGCTTTTAACAAGACCGTACGCATTACAAATATACTAAAAAAATAACTGTTACAAATGGTATGCAGAGTTTCTAAACAGCCATTAAAACCAATCCTTTCCGTTGATACCTGTTTAAGCTTTCTTAATGTTGGTAATTGTTTAAATTCTGTATGAAATGTGGCTATCGTATTCGTTCTTCGAAGGACACGCATATCAAAATCATCCAACTTGGACTTAGGTCGCTTCCTTTTCGGTTTTTTAGGAGATTTAAAAATGTTCTCTAACTTATCGTTAGACGTACTAGCTTGTTTTTCTTCTTTCAAAATTCGCGTAATCGTTGATTCACTAAAACCAACGGCTTTGGCAGTACGCCATCTAGCATCAGTTAGTTTTTCAACTCCATTCTTCGCTTCATATTTCATTCGGTGGTAAACATTCCCAATAATTTCTTATCCCAAAAAAAATATTACCTATTGTTATTATTTTCAAATATTATATACATAAATATTTACATTTAAATAAAATATTACATAAATAATAAGTGTAATTTTATTTACCTGGCTCCGAAGATGCTTTTTGGTGGACATGCTGACGGTACTTTTGCGATCAAATGAAGCGTGCATCTGCTTTCGAGTCTAACCGGCAACTGATTGACCAATTACAGTAGTGTTTACATGAGTGATGCGTACATATCTTAAATTTGCTTGTATGCGTAAATACGCGAGAGACGGGCGCTTCATTTCAAGTCAGACAAGCTCTACAGGATGTTCTCTAATGGAATTGAGTCATAATTATCGGATTGGACATACAACTGTCCGAGATATCATATATGACGTTTGCATGGCGATTTGGGAAAATATGAGACAGTCATCGTTTCCAAAATTAAATGAAGAGAGGTGGCTTGAAATAGCAAAAGGTTTCAATGAAAATGCAAACTATCCCAATTGCGTTGGTGCCATCGCTGGAAAGCATATAAGAGTGATAAAACCCAGCGATTCGGGATCACTGTACTATAATTATAAAAAATATTTTTCCATCGTTTTACTTGCTGTATGCGATGCAGATTACAAGTTCACATATATAGATGTTGGGGCTTATGGAAAACGTAGTGACTCAACTATATATATATATATGTATAAAGAATCCATTTTGTACCAAAAACTTGTCAACAAAGATATACAAATCCCGGAGAAGCGCCCCATATCAAATAATGGAGTACCGATGCCATACGTCATAGTGGGGGATGAGGCATTTGGCTTATGTGAAAATTTAATGAGACCTCATGGAGGTAGGAGTTTAACAGCGGAGAAAAGAATCTTCAACTATAGACTGTCTCGGGCAACGCGGTACATAGAATGCACGTTTGGGATTTTAGCCAACAAATGGAGAATTTTTCATCGTCCACTAGATGTCCGACAGGAACTTGCAATTGCCATAGTACAAGATTGCTGTGTGTTACATAACTACGTGCGCGAAAGAGATGGGTATAGATTTCAAGACACACCATACGTTCCACCAGAACTGGAAATAACCGGTAGACCCACAAATAGCGGCAGCCGATCATCAGCATCTTATAGGGATTTATTTACGGATTATTTTATGGTCGATGCTCTCGCGTCTCTCTAGGCGTGAGGGCGGAATCCGGACCCGCGTTCCGGCCTTCCGCGGATCTTCCTAGCCGTAAGGCCGTGTCGGTTTCGTCTCGTGCGAGTTGTACCATAGCTCTATAAGATGTTCGGCGACACCAAGACGTCGCATTATTGAGCACTCGAACTGCAAAACAGCGGCATCTTGAGACTTGTCATACTTTTTCATGTCATTTTCGACCGGGTACGAGCCCCGTAATTTGTCAGCGCTGATTACAGTGTTAAGATGTTCGACGAACGCGTCGGGAGACATACCAGTAAACACCAGCACACGAGGCAATAAGATACGCAACAGACGTAAGGATCGCACCACACGACAAGACGAGTAAACACCGTTATAATGCCCCTGCAACGCATAAGCCACATCCATGGGGTTTCGGTGCGTGCACAACAGCTGCTTACGTATATTGCTATTGGAAGTGCAAAATGATTGAAACTCTCTGGGATACCAAACCTTGACATAAAATCATACAACTTCCCCACCACCGCAGTGGAAGAAGTAGCAGTATTCATATTGTATACTTCGACCCACTTACTATATGCGTCTACTATAACTAAATATACAGAACCCCCAATCGGTCCCAAGAAATCTACATGTATTCTGTTAAATGGACGCTTAGGTAGTTTCCAATGAGCTAAGGGGGCGCGTGGGGGTGAAGGCCGTAGTTGTATACATGTATCGCACCACCCGATCATTGTTTCTATAGCTTGATCGATGCCTGGAAACCATAATCTTGATCGAGCTTCAGCTTTAGTTTTGACAATACCTAAGTGTGAAGAATGCAATTCTTCTAAAACAATTTTGTATAGGTTCTTGGGTATTACGATTTTATGACCCCTCATTACGCAACCATTCTCATATGATAATTGAGATCTACACAAGTGATAAGGTTTTAACCGTATGTCATTAAGTTTTGGTGGCCATCCCTTCAAAATAAAATTAATTACTAATTTTAAAACGTCGTCATCACGCGTCTCCTTACGTAACCTGTCTATTGTCACGGGCATACCACCATCCGCAAGAAAACAAACATATGTGGCCCGATCATACGATACCTCGCAGTCGCAACACTGGCACTGTTCGGTGCACGCGCACTCATGAACAGTGCGCGGTAGACTTGCGCGCGACAGATAATCGGCACTATTATTCGCACATACTCTATCGTATAGTTATAACTACTAAGGAACAACGCATACCGTTGAAGCCTATTTGCTGACATTTCTGGTATTCCCTTATAGGACCCAAAAATTGATAGTAGTGGCTTGTGATCCGTTCTTAAAATAAACGGTTCACACCTACCATATAAAAATTGATGAAACCGACGCACCCCGTAGATAATAGCCGTTGCTTCCCTTTGAATCTGAGCATATCGCTTCTCCGCGGAGTTCAGCGTTCGCGACACAAATGAAACGGGCTTTTCAATGCCGTCTAGCCCCACCTGTGAAAGGACTGCCCCCAAACCGCTTGGGGAAGCATCTACGGTTAATATTATTTTTGCCTTAGGATCGAAATGTGCGAGAACCTGATTGGACGTCATTAACTTTTTAATTGACTTAAAAGCCGAATCGTGAATATGATTCCAGTTCCATTTAGTACCTTTTCTCAGTAGTTCGTAAAGCGGACTAAGTATAGAAGATGCGTTTGGTACAAAACTTCTATAATAATTAATTAAACCTAAAAATGACTGCAGCTGCCTAACGTTTGTGGGAGTAGGCGCTTCTACCATAGCCTTAATTTTCTCAGGTGCTTTTTTCAGCCCATCTTTTGTAATAATATAACCTAGGTAACTGACTTCGTCCTGAAAGAAGGTACATTTTTTTTTGTAGTGTTAAGCCTGCGTTCTGCAACCGTTCTAAAACCGCATTGAGTCGTTGTAAATGTTCCTGACTATTTTTTCCTGTAACTAAAATGTCATCTAACAAGCACAGGACTCCATCAACCCCCGACAGTACGTTTTACGTAAAATGTGTACGAAAACGTGCCCAGAAGTGGCGGGCCCCCGTCGCGTACTACGTAAAACACAATCTGACGTTCGTGCCCGGCGTACTGTATCGGTAAACGAAGCGTACCTATACATACTATTCTACCTCCATTGTATGTCATCAGCTGTTTAGACGTACCTGATAATGGCACATTTTTAAAATGAGTGTTATAAAAGTTCTTTGAAATTACACTCACCGCAGACCCGCTGTCTAATTCAAATTTACATGGAATATTATTGACAACAGCTGTTTCTACCATGGGTTCCCCCCTAATAGATCGGATAACAAAAATCTTACCGTCATCATCAGCCTCGCTACCACAGCTAACCACATCTACGTAATTCATTTTCGTACACATTTTACGTAAATGGCTTTTAACGTGACACTTTTTACAAGTATAATTAGCGAATCGACATTCCGCCGATTTGTGATTTGTATATCCACAAACACTACACTTGGTTTTCACTACTTTTCGACCGTTATTTGTAATCTTGAAAAGCTGAAGGTCAGGCGCGGACGACCGCGCATCCACGCCTTCGCTAGCTGCGATGGCCGCGCGCGCGACGCTCAAGTTCTCCGCCATCTCGACGACTCGGGCCAGGGTGAGGTCCGACAAGTCTTGCGTATACAGCTTTTCTTTTTCTCGCCCCGGCCGCAACCCCGTGATAAACCGGTCTCGGAGCGCCTCCTCAACGTTGAGGAATCCACACCTTTCCGACAGTCCTCGCAATCTGGCCGCCCACTGGGAGTGAGTTTCTCCCACCTGCTGGACGGCTGCGTAAAAATTGTGCCGTTCCCCAAACCCGACACACTTCAGCGTGAAGTGGCTATCCAGGAGCGATAGCAGGTCTTCATAAGGAACATCTTCGATATTTTTTGCTGGATCAATATAAGTTGCCTGTGCAACTGGTTTAATAGCCAAGTTTTTGGCTGTTATATCAATAAAATAAGATAGCGATATTGCTAACTGTCGTTTACAAAACATTGAAAGATAACACCTATCTTTCGTCATATATAAATATTGTCTAACATAATTGTTAGTGTTAATTATATAAAACTTCATATTGTAATTTGACATGTTGTGTAACTGCATATTTTACTGATACCAAGGTTATTGTCTTCCTCCGGCAAGCCTTTACTATATGGTGAACTGGCGGTTATTTAGTCCTCTGCTCGTTATAAAATTTACTATTTTAATAACAGGGCCACAATTCTGCTATTTTATGTTTACGCAAAGCCACTGTCATACCACTGACACGCTATTGAGATGCCATCGAGTGGCCATTGGCATCGGTATTAATTTTCGGTAGTCTGCACTAACTCAGTGTCTTTACAGTGGCAATGGAATGGTAGTGGCTCATCAGTGGTGATATCAAAAAGATTGCCATGTTTGGAAAAATAAATAAATCATTTAATTATAATTTGAAAATGTATTACGTTTTTTTTATTTTGGTAGATAAAGTTGTTATGAATTTATCAAATTTATTGTTAAAAATGTATAAACTACAACGACATAATACACCGTAATTAATAAAATTATCGTTGGCTGTTTGTAAGTGCTATTGCCAAACGAAAAAAGTGTCACTGACTTATCTATCATTGATGGAACGGACCAGCAAATTTAAAATGCTTTCTAAAGAAATAGTAAGTACTTACTTTCGTATTTTTTAGATGTTATGGATTATATAAAATTGTATTATCTATTTCTGCAAACAAATATATTAATAAAATTATGGTTTAACACTACATAGTGCATCATTGTCTTTACTTTGAATTTTTGTAATTCAAACTCCTAAATTCGTATCAGAAATGGCGAGTGAGATACAATTAGATGCGTTTGATGTTCCTGGTTCAAGGAAGGATGCAGTCTGGCGAAGCGATTATGGACGGAGTGCGCAAATATATGGTGCTTCGCTTGACTGCCAGAGTGGAGAGTAGTGAGTATTAATTTACATTTGTTCTATTCTTCTAGGCACCCCTCCACCAATCTCTTTCTTTATGAGAAGGCAATAACGAAATAAGTTAGGGCAAATAGTCCACTATGTTGTCTGCTATTAAAAGTTAATATTTATTTTATTATTTTTAGGTTTATAAAAAATACAAATCAAAAAGCAAAGAACATAGAAAAAATAAAATACAAATATCTGTGATGAACTTTATAAAAATAAAATAATAACAATGGTAAATATACATAACTTTTATTGTGAAACTAGTATGATATATTTTGTTTTCCTAAGATGAACTTCATTGTTTTCAGGAGATGGCCCAGCAACTCTCATCACCTTGACACCACTATAAGAGTGGTTATATTATATTATGGACCTCGGTCCATAATATAATATAACTACTCTTATCTCTCTATTATCTATATCTAACCACTCTATTATCTATATCTCGATATTGGGGAAACATTTAGAAGGTGTCCCGAATGTGGTGCATGTTCCCTTGCCATATTTGGAAGTGAAGTACTTGAGCAGCAAGCCTGAAAATAAATATTGTGAATTATATGTTGTAGTAACATTTTCTTTTTTTTCAGAAATGTAACATCCATGACCTATAGCTGTCCCTCAAATAAAAAAAAATTCAATGACTATGTTGTTTTCTTTTACTTTTCCTTTTTTGATAGCACACAAAATAATAAGTATTTCATTCATTGAGCCGCTGCTTTAAAGTCTATAATTATTATTATTAATATATCAAAAAACATGATAGAGTTAATTTGTCATGATAGATTCATTTGATAGAGTAAATTTCATCAATATGTGAACTCAGTGTCTGTAGTGTTTAAACATCCCAGTACAGCGCTCAACAGTATTGGGTGACATGCAAATTATAATAGTAATACTCTGCAGTTCTTTCAATGTTGTTTAAAGCTGGAGTGATCATCTACTTGCACAAGGTGTATCACAAAGAAATTTTAACATTTTGTAATAAATTCTTTAATATAATAACAATACATTGTAATATTAAAAAAATTAAAATAAAATTATATGTGTGTGGTCTGCGGTTATAAAGAAACAAAACTAACTGGTGGCATCACAAATACTAACAAATTAACAAACTAACAACTCGGGCGGCAGATACCACCTTAAAAGAACACAGAACCAACCACAAACACAATAAATGCCTCGGACAACTCGGTCAGCGCTGGACCTTTAATCTAGGACGGGGGGCAGCTAATAAATACAAAGATGTTAAGTTCTAGTGGCAGTTTATTATCCCGTAGTGTCTGTAGAGTACAAAGTATCTTAGGACTCTAATTACAATACGTAATTCTTATACTCAAAATAGTACAGTCATTAATGCAATCCTTTTCAAATAATAAAAAAACCCAATATAAGATTAAATATGTTTTAAGAGTCACATAAAGACTCAATAAGAAATGAAACTAAGGGTAGTTGTAGCATCGTCCTACTCCCTTAATAAAAATAACCCCCTTGGGGACCCGCATAGGTTTTAAAAAAGTCGCGTAAAGACTTAATAGAAAACACAATACAATCTAAGGGTAGTCGTAGCATTGACCTACTCTCTAATAAAAAAATAACACCCCTTGGGGACCTGCAGTATTCAATGCCACGACGCCAAGCAAAATAACAAAACACATACCAATGACCTTGGTTCAGTCGGAATGAAATGAAAGCAAACCCACTCCGAATAACTTCTCACTCCGGTTCCCACGTGGTGGAAGAGGCGGGTTAGCATTCCCAGGCTCCTGACAATGGCATGCAGCTAAGCAGCTTTTTCTACCATTATAGGTGCTCCACAGCAAACTAGATTCCTGGGGTCAGGCCGGCGGAGAGGCAAAATCCGAATGCCACGCAATGACATTACAATCCAATAAGAAAGTAAGGTATAATTTGAACGTAAAGAATTCCAGGTATAAAAGGAAAATTAGAGTATAAAAAAAACTTTAGATATAAACTAAAAACCCTGATTCATCTGTAAATAAGAAAAATTATAGGTTATTCGCCTATCTCAAAAGATGAATCCTAAATCCGGCAAGACACCATAGATCACTCACCAGGGTCCCAAAATGTTTCACAAACTAAGCAGCGGCATTATAATCATTTCCTGTAACCAATTAAACAAAGAGTTAGAACAACTAATCCCGACAAGCCAAGCATGAAGCACGTGGCTTAACAAGACTTACCTTTTTAATAAAAATAACAACTCGAACCAGTAGCTCGAGTCTTTAACTAGGTTGGCCAAACATTTAAAGAGGAAATAGGCCCTCGTCCACAACAAATAAATATGGATTACTAATAAAAAATTACAATCACTCGCCCTGCCTCATCTCACTCGGGCTGAAAATCCAAAAGTGACGCTAACGTGTTGCCAGAGCAAAAGCTTCGTCACTCCCTCGAACGTGAGAAAAAATGTTGCCAGGACAAGAAAAACCAAATCGATAAACTATCGTAGGCGAACAACATCGACTATTACTCTCGTCCACCCCTCGACAATCGGCACTCGCAGAAACGACATAAAATTCAACTAACAAAACAAAAACACGTCTAAGATTCAAATTACTGTAATGGTGCGAAATGCACCGTTACAACATTTTTAAAACTACTTGGCTACTAATTGACTAATACAAAACTGAAATATTATACAAATGGTTTCTAGACTAGTACATGTTATTCCAACAAATAGGGTATTAAGCTTAAACCAAAATAAAATAAATTTATTTTGTTTTAGTCAAAGTTATTAGGTAGGTAACTACCATCATAAAGTACCATGTACTCACCTGCTAAAAATGAATGATCTTCACCGGGACCAGCTACCCATTAAGTCTTGGCTGTGGATTACGCTGTATCAGGGATATTGGCCCGGACACACATGATGTTAAGATCAGAATCACATACCTATAAATTATTGTTAACATTAAGTAAACTGAAAAATTGATCACTTATAAATAAATTGGTAAAAATAAACATTTAATTTAATAGGTAGGTGTGCATTGTCAACACTGACCCTTCAGCCTTCATTACATATTTCACCAAGAGGCAATCATCTCTTAGGTTAGGTAAAGTTTTATGGGATATAATAGTTTTTTATTCATTATGTGAAATATTATAGATTTATTGTCTCTTAAAAAAATTATTAAGATATATATAGATATTGTCTTGTAAGTTGTTCCACTTAAATAAATTAAAATGTTAAAGGTATATACTTACTTGGCATTTATGTCATTTCTTTCTTGATGATTCTGTATGATGGTAGGATGATTCAATGCCTTGGTCACTTATCTAATAGTTTGTGAACATTATGGAATGCACTTTGGTTCGATATGATCCTGGCATTTAAAATGATATCAGAAAACTGTAAAGTTAATTTAACATAAACATAAATTACCAATAGAACATTTGTTTTTATATTATAAGTTTTACCTTTGTCTGAAGGAATAATGCTGATATCTTCTCCACAAGGCTTTCTGTTAGCCTAAACACTTTTATAAATGTGTCCTCGCATATTATGTCTGATATTTACCACTTTGTCTCGACAAACCACGAGCTCATCGGCGATTTCGAACCTCTTTAACTCGACGATCTTCGTTGTAAGCAGCTTCTAATATTTGCCTCCGTTGCAAGTTGAAGCATATTTATTTACGCACTTTAATTACTCATCTATTGAATTAACGTAAATAACTAAATACGCACATAACACTCTCAAAAAAGCAGTGACTGCTTGATGGCAGATCAATGATAGTTTAACAACAATATTATTCACTCTGAAGCCATCGTGGTGTCATTGAAACAACTGTCAATTCTGTCAAACACTTGTAGACTACCGTTTAGCAAACTATTGAACAGACATCGAAAACATTTTGAATCAGTGACAAGTCATCGGGAGGCCATTGGTCTTTATTTAGTTAGCAGATTACGAAACGTGCCAAACTATTCCGACGACACTCCATCGACACTCTATTGATACAATATTAAAATAGCGGAATTGGGGCCCAGTTGCATGACATGGTCCATTTTTAAATGTTTAGATGCCAATGTATCTTGATGAATGATACAGTGAAATCCCACAAAATTCCCTGATATTTGCTGTTTTAATTTAGTCGCAACGCCCGAATGTTTTCCAACCATGGCAGGAGCGCCGTCCGTCGTTACACTGCTAAATATATTCCAGTCGAGTTCATATTTTGCTATCAAATGCTCCATTGCAGAATAAATATCATTTGCTTTGGTAGTACCTGTCAACGGAACGCACACCAATAATTCTTGCTCTCGTCAACAGCCAGCGAAAAGTTGGTAAATTCCTTAATTTTCTCCTTCAGTTGATGAACCAAATTTTGAGATAAATCGCTTATTCTCGAAGCAACAGTGTTTCTTGACAGCGAAATATTTTGAATGATTGACTTTTGAGATGGAAACGATACATCGGCAACTTTCAACATACAATCCTTAATAAAATCACCGTCAGTGAAAGGTTTTGATCTCTTCCCGATTTCTAATGCAATAATGAAACTTGATTTCAGGGCGTCTTCGCTCTCAGTATTAGCTTTAGTAAACATCGATTGTTGACCGTGAAGTTTAGATTTTAAACATGATAATTTGTCCATTCTTATCTTTTCAGAGGAACAGTCAAATTTTGATTTATTATTCGTATCATAGTGTCTCTTCAAGTTAAACTCCTTACAAACCTCAACTGTTTGATTGCAAATCAAACACAGTGGTTTACCTTTCCATTCTATGAAAGAATATGCAATTTCCCATTTTGACTGAAAAATTCTGCACTCACTATCAACTTTACGTTTTTGCGACATTATGCCACAACACAATTATAACAATTATGAAACTCGAATGAACACCAAACTGTAGGTACGTACGTAATACGCGACTGCTCGATACAAAGACTTCAACCCGAGTGCGCGGGGGAGGTGCGCTGTGTGCGCTACGTGCTCGGACGAACGAAACAAAAGCCGTCTTCGCGCGTGCGACAGAGATAAAAGCATAACTAACACTCTCTCACTCGTCTAGGCACGCGCTACTCTTGAAACTCGCGAAATCTAATGCCGCATTTACACTCGCGTATTACAGTCGCAAGACGAGGCGCAAGGCGAGACACGAGGCGCGAGGCCAGAGTGTAAATCCGGCATAAAAAACAAAATTCTTCTTTCTGTGATATACCTAATGGTCCTAATGCGATTGCGGGCCGTATTGATATGGTCTGAGGGCCGGATGCGGCCCGTGGGCCGTATCTTTGACATGACTGATCTAGAGCATGCTCATACTCAGCACTGCACCGGCTGAACCCAACCACAATGGCTTCAGTGCATTGTGTATGAATCCGGGCTATTTCTAACTAAACATTCTTATTTTTCTCAATTAGGCCTAGTAATTCTTTTTCATTATCATCTCTTTCCGCAATAAGCTGGTCACACAACTGCTTAGACTCCTTCAGCTTGCTCAACGCCAACGTTTACGTTTATATAGGCAATTTACATGAACTTTTGACTGTAGCAAATGTTTGAAACTACATACGTTTGAGATGAACACGTAAACACTGTTATATATCTTAAAAATTATACCTCTTTAATGATGATAATTACTTGCCGGTAACTGTCACAGAATGTATTAAATATTAAGTTTGAATAAATTTGCATATTTTCACTATTATTTATGAGTAAAACAATTTAAAACCCTATCTAATTAGTTAGTTTAGAAAATTAGTTTATTATATTGTATTTTAAGCTAATAAAACAAGAACAAAATTTGAATGAGCTGCTGGCCAGGGTTGCCGGCGAAAAACCTGTATGTGGGTATTAGATTCCAAGAGTACTTTGATGGGATGTAAAATTGTTGCGAGCCAATGTGAACTTGTTTAACTATCTTTGCTAATGGAGCAGATTTTTGGTTCTGTGCTTGTAAACTGGAATCATCGTAGACTTTTTAACAGATTGTAAAATGAAAGTTTTTTCATCATCAGGATAAGCAAGTTGTCGAAATCGTTTTCTTTTAGGTGCCATTAACAAGCAATGTGCTTTAAGGCACAAGCAATCGCAAAACCCTCTTTTTCTTTAGCTGTTACAAAAACAATTCAAAACTCTGTAATATATGTCATTAGTATGATCATTTGCTGCCTGTATTTGGTGTAGTTTTACGAGTTAGGTACAGGCTCGTATTAAAGAATTCATTCCATTTATTGTTAAGATATATATGTTTGTCATTGACAATGCAGTGTTACTCTACATTCATCTTTCAGAAACGTAAGTGCAGTTTCAGCATCCGTAACATCCCTTCCTTGTGAGACTTTTTGGTCTAAGAGCCGTTTCATAACTCCTATACCATCATCAGCAGGGCCCTTGCCATGATAAGACTCGGAAAAATTCCAAGTCCTTCAAAGTTTTCTTAAATAGATAGAAATTCTTTTTTTGTTTGTACTGGGTAGTGGGCCCGTCGGAAAATACATGTCGAATTGTCACTTCAGGGTACTTCCTTTTGATATCCATCAACACTGGATTCAAATGCGCCCAAACGGCTTCTGGTGCATTGTTTGTTAAATCTGAGAATGTGCAATAAGACTGAGAATCGCCAAAGTGGACGGCTTGAATGTCTTCTTGGAGTTTACATTCGTAATTTTCCGAGAAATTACAATGAAGAACTACTTCGTTATCTTCAAGTTGGTCTTTTAGATTTATGTAGGTTTTATATTGGTGGACAATATTGAAAACACCAAGGATCTTTTTAATTCTGCTTCGAACAGACGTACATAGTTTTCTAACTTATCTGATTTTGTTTCACCACTTGTTTTACCTTACCTTTTTCATATTCGATTTTTTTGAATGACCACTCTAGCCACGAAATATTTTCATATTTCTTTAATTTGTCATACTGCGAAGATATTTTATTGCACACATCACATTCAGAATACATGCACTCCTTTGAACTTTTATCACATACGGTAGCTTCTACAAGGTCACTTATTCATGAAACGATTTTAATAATATTTTTTTCAATCCAATAAATTTGAATTCAATATTGGCATGAATTTTGCAAACACAAGTATCTCGGTCTCTAAGGAGTGGGCTGACAATATGAAATGGCTTGTGTCTGACAAATGTGATGTAAGATATTTGGATGCCCGTATATTCCCTGAACTCTTTGTTTACACAAAAAGTTCAGGGAAGATACGTGTCTAAGAAAGGTAAGAACTAAAGTGTCAAGAAGATAGCGCTTCTGCCTCTTTTTTTGCGTCTTTGTTTCTTTCTTCCCCGTAGAAGAGCGACTTACATCGTCTTGGAAATAAAACTGACTAATTTTCTTGATCTCTCTGTAATATGAGACGAGGCCTAGGAAGGATTTAGTGTCTTTTGGGCTTTTAGGTACGGGAAATTGAGAGACAGCTTTTACCTTGTCTGGTGGTGGCTTGATTATAATGTGTCCGAGTTAACCCATTTCCTTCCGGAGAAACTCACATTTGTCAAGTTAAATTTACGGAGTCTATGAAAGATTTTGGAGAGGTTTTCTATATGATTTTGAAGGTCACGAGATTACATTACAATGTCATCCAAATGGACACAATAGTGTTGGAGTCCTGTGAGAGCAGTGTTCATCAAACGTTGAAAGGTAGATGGAGCATTTTTCAGGCCAAATGGCATTCTTTTGAACTCATAGTGGCCTTGAAGAACGTGCTGTTTTTGTTTTGACATAGCCATCTGGTGAAATCCGGAGCAGAGGTCTGGCGTGGAGAAGTACTTGCATTGGCCTAATTGGAGAATCAAATTAATTTGAGGAATTGGGTAACTTTCTCCTATTGTAATATCATTAAGTTTTCTGTAATCAATTACGATGCGTCACTTCCTTTGGCCAGAAGAATCCATCTTCTTGGGAACGACCCAGATGGGAGAAGACCACGGAGAAAGAGAAGGTTGAATAATGTCTTGGTCTAACATTTTTGTTATCTGGGATGCTACTTCTTGTTTGTGTATTTCAGGAAATCTATAGGATTTGACGTTTATGGGTTCCGATGAAATTGTTTTGATTTCGTGTTTGAGAAAATCGGTGGTCGTCAGTCGGTCATTGGGCAAGTGAAATATATCAGAGTAATGAGAACAAATATCATAGAGATTAGATTTTTCTTCGTCATTAAGGTGATCGGTTCTGAGTAAATTAAGAACTTCAGTTGTACGATCTGTATGGGATTCGGTGTCACTGGTGTGAAAAGAACCTAGGTTCGAAACCTTGATTATTAAGAGGTTCCATATGTAATTTAATGTCCGAGTTTATTGTCACTGATTCTTCGGAAGTATTTAATACGGATATATTGACTCTATAATTGTCCTTTACAGCGACTATACAATTAGCGACAAGTAGGCTATCAGATGCAGGATGTTGGATGCAGGCCGCAATCAACCGTCCCCGCTGGAAATCATTGGGAGAGGCCTATGTCCAGCAGTGGACAAGCATAGGCTGAGGAGAGGCTATCAGAAATGTGTTGGTCCACGATGTGCCCCACTTTACAATTGGGATTTGAAACAATAAATTCCAAAATCGTTTCTGTACGGGGGGAGATAAGATAAACCGGTTCGCAGTATTTGGGTTTCGCAACTGTATCCCTAATTTGCAACGTATTAGAATTATAATCGATAACAGCATCCAAATTATTTAAGAGGTGATTCCCTATTATGCCATCATAACATAGATTTATATCTTCGACCACATGGAAATCGTAAGAAATGTCCACTTTCAGATTATAAAACAACATTAAATTAAAGGAACCTAAAGTGCGTGTAGTTTTACTTCCGGCATTAATTCCCACCAATTGAATTTACGCTTACGAAATGTTAGGTAACATTCGCTTACTTGAGTTCTGAGGATAACGTGAGGTAAATATCGATTATTAGAATTAGAAGTTATTTTAAATATTTTTGACGTGACAACGTCTTATAATTCGATGGAGCCGGCTGCACGCACGAAAAAACATGACGCAATGCGGCGTTACCTCGCTCTGAGGCGTTCCATTTAAGGCTTGAAGTGCAAGCGAGAGCGCGGAACGAGCGACAAAGAGGCACAATCGGCTTCCGCGTTCGGCAGCGTTCGACATCTGTATCTCTCCTACTTGAGTCAGCGGTGCGTCCGCGTGGACAGCTGCTATACAATAATACATTTACATGTTTTCGTCAAGTATGAAGCGTAATTAAAATTTTCTTTTGAAAAATGCAAGCTGCAAGCTTTCCATCAGTATTTTTTTATGACGTTGTCACGTTCAACTATCGTCAGTAAACCGACTTTACAGACAACCGTTTTTTTTTTTATTTTTAGATTGTTATGAGGTTGTCGCGGATCTGGACACTTTGGATACAGTGGGTACAGTGGATTCAGCGGATATGGCGGTTACAGGGGATACAGCAGATACAGTGGGTATATGGGTGTCCTTGATGGCATTGTTTATATGCGAAGGTTTGGGTCTCACGAGACAACGCCGTGAGCCCTTTATTCGTTTAAAGTCTCGTTACTTACATCAAGGTATTTGTTCACGACGTAGACACGAGCTTTTTGACAATAAAGTTGATTCTGAGGAGAATTTTGGCGTGGTAGGTTGCTTCGCTGAGCTTTAAATCTATTATTATATTCCCGTTTCCTTCATTCCTCAATAACATGCCCTAGATTTTTGCAATATGTTCAGAATTTAGATTGGTTTTGGGACTGCACATTGTTGACATTAAGGTTTCTAACACTATCATAATTAAGACGTGGTTTCATCGTGTTAGATTGATTCGGTGAGTTACGCTTATACATGAGTTTTTGTATCTTTTCTACAGAGATCGCGATATGAATGGCCTCATTAAGGTTTTTAGGGGATTTGCATCGAACTACGTTTGAGATACATGAATTTAACCCTATTAAGAAATGATGACGGATTACGGTGACGGATTACGAATACGGAATGTCACCACCCCTATTCATCCCGTGGGTGTCGTAAGAGCCGACTAAGGGAGCAAACTACGCAGGACAACAGCACTGCAAAGAGAAGGAAAACTTGAAACAAACCCTATACCAACCCGTCTGGCCAGCGTGGTATAGTAGGCCAAAACCTCCTTTCTAAGGAGAGGCCTATGTCCAGCAGTGGACTATTATAGGCTGTTGATGTGATGATGTGATGAAGAAATGATGGAGAGCCAGGTCTTCCATGGCCGCAGTGCGCCCTGGAGCTTCTTTGGCCTTGGTCAAAACGATCTCTGTCAGGAGTCGTGAGAGAATTTCTTCAATACGAAGCCCAAATTGGCTAATTGCTTAATTTTGCCCTTGTCTACAATCTTGCAGCACGGCTAAGAGGTGTGAGTAATGTTTGGAGTCAGCGAATTGAGTTTTTAGAAACTCCTTTAGTTGATCCCAGTGTGTGAAAGATTTAATAGAGCAAGCAATTTCTGCTTTGCCTTAAGTGACTTAAAATGTATTTAACCTTACGTAAACCACGTGGGTAAAAGTTGCGTCCTGCACAATGTGGGGTTTCCTATACCCAACATCACTCTATCTATATATAGATAATATCTTTTTAAAGTTTATTTTATACATATTTATATTGTTTTTGGACTATTAGGAGATAGAAATAAAATAAATTTGTTGAGTAAAATAAACATTTTTAATATCTATAGGCATTGTAACAAAAATAGTACTTTTTTAATAACTAAGAGGAGACCATCTTGTTTGGTTTAGATTTATAAAAAAAAAACTTAACTAAAAACTTCTTATTGCCCTTTATTTCAGGGCCTAATGAGATAAGAAATAATAATAAAATAAAAATAACTAAACCTAATTAGTCTTCATGAGATCCCAGTTGGTTCAAATCTGCACAATTTTTACAAAAAAAATATGCGTTCTCTAAGCATATAGGTACTTCACATCGCTCGCAACCGTACTTGGTCTTCCGATCTTTTCTTCTATCGCATTCCGAACATCTTGTTACACGTCTTGGCATCTTCTTTGGGTTCCACACTTGGTTCACCAAATAAGACACGTATGCGCTTACGAGAATCCCTTGGAATTCGTGGATTATTTTTGCGATTTCTCAGGTGGTCTTCAATCAAAGCCATTCCAGATCACGAATAAACTTCCTCCTAGTGTTAGATTTTCCTGCTTCAATGTCATTATTGAACATATGTAGGATCATAGCGTTGATTCCTGCATGATTTAGCATCGAGAAAAACAAAGTGAGAGGCCAGCGTTTGCTGTTGCGAGAAACGTCGTGGCAAGTTTATCGACCACGTCTACTCCACTTTTGGTTTCATTATAGAATGTAATCATAGATGGCTTCTGCTTGATTCCAGTTTCATGGTCGATTTCTTTATCATGATGAAGGGAAGACATCATATAAACGTACTTTCGAGGCTTTGGAACATAAGAAACGAGAGTGATATCTTTTTAAAAGCCAAACCGTGATGCATATTCCTCTCGAGATTGCTTGAAACATAACGGAATGCAAGCTTTATTAGCTCTCAAATTACCAACTATCGTTAATTTATGTTTCTGCAACAAGTTGTTAGCAGTTTCATGACTGGTAAAGAAATTGTCCATAGTAATATTTCTTGACGAGCCGGAAACGCAGTTTACCATACGATTGACTAAGTCAATTGGTTTATTGCTCAACGCAAACGGACTGTTGTCTGGCTGTTTGCCGCAGTAAATTTCTAAATGCACGATGTAAAATGTTTTAGCGTCGACTAAGGCATATATTTTAATTCCGTACTTTGCGGGTTTTGATGGGATATACTGCCGAAATCCACACTTCCCTCGAAAGGCAACCAATTCTTCATCAAGAGTTAGGTATTCGGATGGTTTATACACATTTTGGCAAAGCTGGACAAAGGTTTCAAATATGTCTCGGATAGGTGCTAAACGATCAGACTTTATTCTGTCTTCTCTAGTTATAGCGTCATCGAATCTCATATTATTTAGTAAGTACGAGAATCGATTTTTAGACATCGTGCATCGAAATATTTCGATTCCAGTACCGTCTGAAGCCCAGAGGTCATTGAGGTTTTGTCTCCCAGAACGATACAATCCTGCTAAAAACAAAAGCCCAAAAACTGCTTTCATCTCATATGCAGTTGTTTCTTTATAGAGAACATTTAGCGGTTCATCGTCTGGTGGCTGTGGTCTCGAAAGACATATCTTTACATTTGTATGTTTCACAACCGATTCAAGTATCTCATTGGAAATAAATAATTCAAAGCATTCTAAACTAGTTTTCTTGTCTTTATATTGACTTTTCACTCCCGGCAACTGTGTAATTATATTTTCTTGTCTTGTACGAACATTAGTTCTCAACGGCTCTTTTTGCTATTTTGTTTTGCCATCTTTACCAATATGAAAGCCTTGCGAGCTAGAAGACTCGCCTCCTGAAGAAATGTCCACGTCCTCTACATCCTCTTCGATGTCACTTTCAGATTGAGTACTCAAATGATCCGAATCGCCTTCACTTCCGGGTAAATATAGCTTATCTGTGGCGCCCTCACTATCATCCATAAGTGCCGATAATATTTCATGGTGATCTATACGTCGAGCCATTATGAGAACTACAAACAAATACACCTTTGTGTTTGCCACACCCTGCCACAATTTACGAGCGACCGTCAGCGGCGCCTGCGACACTACTACTAAATCACTGTTACTATGCGACCCGGCAACGTCGCAACTCCAGCTACTCGATGTTTCGTGAAATTCGCGCAGCCGTTTAAAAAGATACGACGATCTTTGTTACGGAACGGAACGGAAGGTTAAGACACAAAATGAAGTTAGAATACGGCTCTGTAATTGTACATTAGTAGATCAACGGAACAGATAACGAATGTTTAGTCTTGCGACGGCCAGGACAGATAAGATGTCTTCGAGAATTTGATCTGTACTTAGAACCAGGTCCTATGTACATGTACAATAGAATGAAATTATAATGTCTAAATAATAGTCTCGTTTTTATAGAAAATATTCATTCGCAGAATATAGTATTTGCACTGCACTTGTAAATGCACTGATTACATGCAGGATTTTGTACTGTTCGGGAACTCGGTGAACAAACACTTTTCATCATCAATGTTATGAGGGTCAGTTTTGAGGAGGTTTTAAAAAAACACTTATGATTAAACACTTACTTGAACAAAAAAAAAACACTTAAATATTTTTTAATTGGCACACGCGAAATATATTAGGACGAGTACATGCGACGGATGATGGATGCGGACTTCATACGACTGGTGCATGGGCAAAAGTGCTGACACGCCAACTTTGGGCTGCGCCATCGACGGGGATAGGGGTGACCTATGCACTTTTGAAATGAGTTATAATTTTCTCTTAATTTACTGAACTTTACAACAAATTCCCCGCACAGCAACCTAGATTCAATAAACGGGCTTACTGGCTTTTTTTTTTGCTAGTCGTCGTATATTAAGTTCTCCATCGACACGACTATACACGCACACCGTTAAAATTGAACTGGCGACACTGCGTAAATAAAATAATCCGGTCTCCGCGACGGGTCCCCGTGACGGAGACCGTTGCCGTTCCACGGAGTCCACCCACGTGTCCACGCGCGTTGACGCGCGACGGTTGCCCGTAGCGGGCGCCTGCTAAACGCAGTTTAAGCCCTAAGGGTAATTGTGTAAGGTATTGAGAAATATAACCGACCTGCTGGATCAAAGTGTCTACGCGTGGGTCTGAATTAGGTGGAATTTGTTCGTACTTACGCAGCCTGCGCCTCTTGTTAGTTGGGGGTGACGCCATGCCCTCTTCCTCCTCCGAGGATGAAGAGGATGATGAATCATTAGGCAAGGCGTTCGAAGATTGATCTTCTTCCAAAGCATCAATTCTCGAAAAATCTTTACCCCCCTCAAGCTTTTTCTTGGGGATCCATGTAGTGTCAGATTCTTCGTGTTGTTATTATCTAAACACTATAGTAAGCACTGTGTGTTAAATCAACCAAATTTTAAAAATTTAATGTAAATTATTCACTGATAATTTTTGCGAAGTTAACGCGGCAAAGTTCACAAACGCTATGATGAATTGACAGTTGTGAGAAGCATCCTCCGGTTAAAGTTAGACTGATTACATATGTGATTGGCGTAAACTGCTGCATTTTTGGCTCGTCCAAACAGGTTGTAAGGGGCAAACGGATGAACATCGGTAAAAGTTACTGCCTATAGATTAAAAATAGCTAATAATAGTAATATTTCGAAGGATACAGGGATTTTACAAAATCAGTCAAATTCACGGCATTATATTTGCCGTATAGCACAGAAGTGAAGAAGTACTAGGGATGGGGAGTTACTTGTACAATGACAATCGATATTTTAACTACATTCTTTATTATATCGACGCAGGAAAGCTTATTTTCTGTAAGTAGACATATTGCAATTGTTCACCAGAGACAAAAAACGTTATTAATTTCGGCAAAAAATTTATAGTGTCTGACCTATCCATGATATTGCTACCATTTTTGGAACATAGGTTTATTTAACTGCCAGTCACCATTTGCAATGTAACCTTTTTATCCAAAGTTACTATAAGTACGTGTACGGCTAGTTACAGCAAACTGATTTTTAAATCACATACTTCTAAAACGCTGTAACTAAGGAAGAAAAATGTACGCGTAGATGGCAATATTATCAATTTACAGGCGGTAAATATGCTGTATGCAGTAAATTTATTTATTTGGTACTGCAATTCAAGATGTAAGATTAAAGGGCTTATTACACTATGCGGTATTCAGACAGTCTTAGTACGACTGTCTTAAAATCTAACTAGGCAAGCTCGCTATTATGCGGCGATTACATTCAGCCCCTGCCGCTGCCCCTCGCGCTGCCGGCGATAATTCCCTAAATACTGCTGCAGCAGGATCGAGAGTGTGTGTTTACATACTGCCCTACCACTCACTTCGCTTTCAAGTTTCGCCAATGGCAGACGTCGAAATAATTACAGCGGCCGCGCTGTCTCTTTTTGCGATACATAATTATGTTCGATATTTAAAAAGATATCTAAAACAAAAAAAGAATGTTCGTCGTAGACGATGGTAGATGATATCTATCCATCGAAAAAGAACTTTGTAAGTACCTAATTATCAACCTACCTACTTAACTAATTTTTTAATGCATATACTAATTCTCCTAGTAAGTATGAGTTATTTATCATGCCTGTCTTTTATTTCAGGGACGTAATGAATAACTTTTTCAATGAAATGAATAGTGAAGAATCTGGGGAATTTACTAACTTTTGCAGAATGTCTCGTACCGATGTTGAATTTCTGTTGAATAAAATTGAACCTATGATAAAGAAACAGACAAGACTAAGAATATACTACTACTACGAAACAAAGGTAAGAAAAGTATATTTTAAAAAATCACCATGTTTTTATTAAAGAAAAGAAAAGAATTACAAACTCTTAATAGGTAATAGTATTAATTTCACTGAACATAATAATTATTTATGTTAACATTTAGGTATCATTGTATGCGTTTTTAATTATGTCGCTCATTTCAGAAGGCACAATATCTTCTTGTGATAAAACATGTATTTGCCTTTCTTGTGCAATATTTTTTCTCTCTTTTGTTGAGGACTGCAATATAACCTCGTTTTGCATATTTATATTTTCTTCTGGGATATGTAAATAGACAGGAGCCTGAGTTGTAGTCGCAGGAGGATTTTGGGACGGAAGTACATAAACAGGTGGATCATATTGTGGAGACGGAGTTGGGAATGATGGGAGATGATGGACGTTTGTGTGGCAAGTTAGGGGATTGTCGGTTGTATGGGGACGGGGAAGAATAACTTGATACTGCTGATTGGATGAATATCTGATAGTTGTATCTGTTTAATGTACGAGTATGTCTTATTTCCGATGGTGTGACGAGTAGACAAGAATCTTCAGAGAGTCGTCCAAGTTTAGCATTATAAATTACATCGGATATAATTTTTTGAGTAAATATCAGTTGTGTTCCACTTATATCCTTTAATTGCAAGCAGACAGACTTTCCAAATATTTCCCAGTGTTCTTCTTCTTTATTTGATAACATTACTTCAGCAGATTTAATAATTCTTTCTTGTTTTTGTAGAAGTGTTTCTTTTTTTTCTCTACGCTATGTCCTCTAGAAGTTGAAGCAATCGATCCGATTGGCTGGCTTGGAATGTCTTCGTCAGATGAATTGGAGCCCTAAAAATACAGTTATTTTTTTTTGTTCCAGATACCTGAAAATGAAACAGAGTGGAAAGAAATGGCTGAGGAATTCGAAACAAAATGGAATTTCAGTCACTGTGTTGGATCATGTGATGGGAAACATATCGCTATAGAAAAACCCCCCGAAAGTGGCTCCTTGTTTTACAATTATAAGGGATTCTTCAGTATTGTGCTGTTTGCTGTTGTAAATGCTAACTACGAATTCATGTATGTACACACAGGCACCAATGGATCCGTTGCAGATGGAGCAATTTTAAAATGTACAAAATTTCATAAGAAAATGATTAACAATTCTTTAAATTTGCTATCTCCATCTCCACTACCAGGCACAAACGAAATTGTACCATACGTGTTTCTGGGGGATAGTGCATTCGCATTGAATAAAAATTTCATGAAACCATTTGATTTAAAAAATATTAATCGGACACAAAGGATTTTTAATTATCGCATATCGCGAGCCCGAAGAGTGGTTGAAAATGCCTTCGCCATATTGAGTTCCCGTTTTAGAGTACTGCGTAGACCACTTGATCTAGATCTGAACAATGTGGATGCTGTAGTGTTGGCATGTTGCGCTCTGCATAACTTTCTGAGGAAACGAGTACCAACTTACATATGTCATTCTAATATTGATTCAGAAAATATAAGACTGGGTACGTTTCGCGAAGGAGATTGGAGACAAACCTCTGCACCCTTAGTTTCATTACAGCGTTCTTCAAATAGGCAGCGTACTGAAGATGGCAATATTGTTCGCAATAAATTCATGTACTATTTCAATTCTGTTGGACATGTTAGTTTTCAAGACCGAATGATTGATGTTGTACCACCATCATATTTGTTACATCTACCATTTTACCTGATTAAATAATGCTATATACTATACATTTTACTAGTGGACCCGACAGACATTGTACTGTTCCTCGAACCCATTAGGCGCAGCTGTCTATAAACGTCTATAGTATACAAATAAAATACAGGCTGTTTCATAATACCCTAAAAATTGAAAAGGGTCAATGTACTGTACCTACTAACAACTTTAGCTATCCAACTTCGAAATCGCGAAAAAGACATCTGTTCCATACATATCGAGTGATTGGTCTTAAATTTTGAATATTTCTATGAAACAGCTGTTTGTATAAAGAATTGAATACTATTTACCTCCTCATCTTCGATGCTCTCTGGTGTTATGCGACATGGTTCACTCCTTGACCCAAGAAAGTTTAACGCGTCTTAATACCATAAAGTTGGTACATACATTTTATCTGTCCCTGCGCCAGTTTGTTGGGAAGCATTTACCTGTAGAAAAACACAATTATGCATTTCGAAGCTTGAAACGATTTAGGCTCAGTTCAATTCAAAATGCCCGATTTAAGGCTAAGGTTCCCACAGCGTTCGTTATACAGGTACGTTTTATCGTATATGTAGGTAGGTTTTTATTGGGACGAATAAAACTCATAACAAAGGAATTAAGTAGGTACATACCTTAGCCAATTCTTTATTGTAATTGGTGCGCATGTTCATCAACTTCTGTTTTATTGTTTTGACTGTAGCCTTTTCATCGAAGGTTTTATAAATTTCCAACAACACCCGGAATCCTTCAGTACGAAGTGGTTGATTGGAATAATCTTTATGACTTTTCAGCCATAAATATGGCATGTCTCGGTACAAATCAAGAACATTGAAAAGTACTTATTTTTCTTTCGAACACGCCATGGTGCACGCGGCCACAGCAAACAAACGTATACGACCGTCTTTGCTCTGCGGCTGCCGCGCGTTGACTGAACGGTCTAACCGTGCTAAGTCTTATTACACTACGCGGTATTCAGCAAGCAAGCGAGTAAGCACAGCCGAACCCATTCGGTCAGTCTAATTAGACAGGCTAACTTGCTAGCTCTTATTACATTAAGCAAAATTTGACTCTAATTATACTGCCAGAACTCTCTTATATATAAGAGATAAAACATAAAAAAATAAATATACAAAATAAAAACTAAGGCCCTAAAACTAGTTAGGTACGCAAGATGTAAATAAAAACATTGTATCCAATCAAAAAATATTTACTTAAAAGTAAAAAAACAGAAACTTTGTGACAATTTGCCTTATTTTAGAACGAAAGATGTAACAAAATACAATTATAATTGAAACTTAACATGAAGACATTGTGTCCAATCAAAAACATATTTAAGGAATAGTAAATAAACCAATGATATTAAAATTATGCTATCGCGAATCATTCACATTTTTTTTTCAGTTATTTTCATCGGTTTCAGGTAAACAGTCATTTGTTTTACAGCTGTACTTAAAACCTAAATATTCTTTGGCCTACTTATTTGGAATCACTATTTTCTCCACTAATTTTTTTAAGTCATTATATTTTTGTTGGGATATTGGTAACTTAGTCGAATATAAATTTGAGTTCGGCATTGCACTATTGAGGCTGCTCAATTGAACCTCAATTGTTTCAGTTTGTGGCAACATTTAGATTTTCACATACATCACATTTGGTTTACACCTTTTAAATGAAACCACATGCATCTTTGAAATATAAATTCTTTAGTTTTTCTTAAAAGTATTATTTGTTATTTCTTCAAATCCCATAAAATTTGTTCCTTCAAGTGTAACTTTGTAAGGAAAGGGGTTCTTCCTGGCTATTCCTACAATAGTAGGCCATTGATATGGAGCCCATACTATTGTTTTCTTCACTGCTCGTTCTATCACAGCTATCTACAGGCATATATGTATAGCCAGGGATCAAGTAGTTCATCTGAATAACTTCAAGATTAACACACCTATATAATGCCTTTGCATAACATAGATAAAACGGTCTTATTTTTGTTTTGTCCGTAGCAGGACTCGGAATACAATAATAAGGTCTTAACTTTAGCTTCCATTATATAATTTAGTGAACACGTCGAAATCTCATTTGCTCCACGATGGGCATCTGTTTCATTCCATATATTACAGAGCCCTACCTGCGTATTACTTTCATAAACTGTGAAATTATACACAGATATTTTTCGGCTATAATAAAGGGCCATGTTATCACCGTGTGGAGTATTAAGCACTTTCTGCATGTCATAGCTAGCACAGATAACACTTTTGTCTGCCTTGTTAAGATACTGATGACATAGAAATCGTTTGTATGATGCTTCTTTCTCTTTTATGTGCTTGTTTAACTTGTTCATTTCCTCTTCAGTTTTCACCTCGAAGGTTTTTGTTGCCATACACACATCTCTCCTTTTTTTGGGATATGGAAGCCAAAGTACTCCTAAATCATTTTGAAAAACTTTAATAGACATAGGTTTTACACTTTCATCGTTGCAGTGCTCTTTGTAAATGTTGTACAAGTTAGTAATATTTTTAAAATTTTCTGGCAGGTACAGTCGTGTGGAATCTTTGAGACAATAATGAGAAGGCAACAATGGCAGATACATAACAAAAGACTTGGCTTTGGCGATGACATCCACAAGAAACAATCCAGAGGCGTAAAATCGCATGATCTTGGCGGCCAATTCACAGGGCCATTTCGAGAGATAAGCTGCTCACCAAATTCATCCTTCAACATGGCCATTGTTTCACGAGCTGTGTGGCACGTGGCACCGTCTTGATGAAACCACATGTCAACCAAGTTCAACTCGGCCAACTGGGGCAAAAAAAGTTGTGTATCATGGCTCGATATCGTTTGCCGTCGACGGTAACGTTTCTTCCACGGTCGTCTTTGAAGAAAAATTGACCGATTATGCCACCAGCCCATGAACCATACCAAACTGTCGTTTTTTCGGGATGCATCGATAATTCTTGTATGGCATTTGGCTGTTCATCACTCCAGATGCGACAGTTTTGTTTATTTACATATCCGTTAAGCCAGAAATGAGCCCCATAGCTGAACACAATTATTCGATAAAACAGCGGATTTTCATTGAGCTGTTCTAAAGCCCATTCACCAAAAATTTGACGTTGTGGTAGGTCATTCGGCTTCAATTCTTGCAGAAGTTGAATTTTATAGGCTTTCAAACCTAAATCAACACGTAAAATTTTCCATGTGGTTGAGTAACACATGCCCAATTGCTGAGAACGGCGACGAATTGACATTTCACGATCCTCATTAACACTGGACGCTACTGCTGCAATATTCTCTTCAGTACTCACTGTACGCATGCGGTTTAATGTCCAACAAAGTAAACTTGCACAAACAGCACGAATTGTTGCTTCACCAGGTCGATTATGACGACCATAACATGTTCGTAACAAACGATACACATTTTTCACAGAGCACGAATTTTGATAGTAAATTTCAACAATTTGCAATCGTCGCTCGTTTTTAAGTCTTTCTATGATGAACTGGCAGGGTATACTGAAAACTTTTCACTTTGACAGATGACGTTTGGATGCCATTACCAACCAGTGTTGCCAACCTGAAAAACTTAACTCTTAAAAAATCACCCGTTATGTAGTCGGTTGCAGTCATGTATTTTTCTGGGTTTCGAAAAGTTGGAGTCAGTTCTTTGCTACTAGTCATGTCCTCTTCCAAATTCCTTGTATGTCGTGGTGCCGTTTTGCAATTATTTTGCGAAAAATTATTAGATTCATAGGTCTGTGTTTTTTTAATTTTTTTGTTGTTCAATTTCGAAGGAATTAAATTGCCTTGTAGGTTTCTTTCTTGAATGCTCTTCAACAATGTCTCCTTGAAGGTCTCAATTCGTCCATCCATTCCCTGTGTTTCGCAATCTAAAATAAGCAATGCAGTTTATAAAAAATGTTAGTATTATATCAAAATACCAGTAATGCCATCTATTATGTTACGTATGTAGGTACTATTATACGATTGTATGACATGAATGTTCTGGAATAAAATTACTCTCGCCATCGGTCTCACAGAGAAACGTTGTTTAAGTTAAAGTAGTGAAACATAGCAAAGTGTTGTGTGATTCAATATATCTTGCAAGAAAAGTTTACAAGAATGACAACAAACTACCTAGTAAATGTTCCTAAGCTAAAAGGACGGGAGAACTACAATGAGTGGATCTTCACGGCGGAGAATTTTCTGATCCTGGAGAATAAATTGCACTGCATCAAGCCAGAAGCCGGGAAAATAACAGAAGCCGCAGATGACGCGAGAACCAAGGCAAAATTAATAATGACTATAGATAGTGCGTTGTATGTACACATCAAAGACGTGAAGACTTCGTTGGAGCTATAGAACAAATTAAAGGCATTATTTGATGATTCAGGATTTACTCGAAGAATATCTCTTTTACGTAATTTGATATCGATTTGCCTAGAAAATTGTGTATCCATGCAGTCGTACGTAACGCAAATAGTCGAAACAGGACAAAAATTAAGTGGGACTGGATTTAACATCAGCGATGAGAGGATCGGTTGCTTATTGTTAGCGGGACTTTCTGAAAAATACATGCCTATGATAATGGCGATTGAGCATTCGGGCATACAAATCACAACGGACGCCATTAGAACGAAGCTCATGGATATGGTGGAAACGGAAGTGAGCGGTCAATACTATGAAGTTAGTAGTGCATTCGCAAGCGGTGCGCAGAAATGGCAACATAAGAAAAATAATAAATTATCTATGGCCAACGCGCAGGGATACCAACCGAACGTACGGAACGCAACGAAATCAAACTTTCATGGCGGCGCTAGCGCCAGTCATGTCAAATGCTACCGGTGTAAACAGCCAGGTCATTACAAGAATCAGTGTCCAAATAGTGATAATATTAGTACGAATATAAAAGAAATACAACGAAAACAAATAATGCGTTCAGTACAGTTTTTCTGAGTGGCAAATTCAATAAGTAGGACTGGTACGTTGATTCAGGTGCGAGCATGCATCTAACAGCTAATGAACAGTGGATTGAGAATGCTATATATCACAAAATGAGGGATATATGTGTGGCTAACAACGAGAGGTTGCAAGTGATATGTTCCGGAGATGTAACCATTGTAACAAAAACCGATAAATGTGAATTTGAAATACCAGTCAAGGATGTATTATGCGCTTCAGGATTGACTACCAACCTATTGTCAGTGAGCCAGTTAATAAAATCCGGTAATACAGTTAAGTTTATGACAAATGGCTGTGAAATATACAATAGATACAGTGAATTCGTGGCCACAGCTGTGTTGAATAATGGAGTGTACAAGTTGATAGTACCTGATAGTGTAATGGCAAATTTATCTATATCAGGGATCACTTGGCATCGCCGATTGGGCCATGTTAATAGTAAATACCTAAATAAAATGACAAGTGCTGTAGAAGGAATGAACCTCCAAGAAAAAATTGATATTGACAAGACGTCATGCACAATTTGCTGTGAGGGTAAACAGTGTCGTTTGCCATTCTCAAATGAAGGTTCGAGAAGCAAAGAATTACTGCATTTAGTTCACACTGACATATGTGGACCTATGGAGTATGAATCACTAGCAGGTTCCAGGTACTTCATAATATTTATAGATGACTTCAGTCGAATGATGCACGTGTATTTTATTAAATATAAAAGTGAAGCACTCCAATGTTTTTCAGAGTTCAAAGCAAAAGTTGAGAAACATTGTAATCCATATCCGTGTAGTTAGAATAGCAGGATTCGACAGAGGACGGACTTTGAATAGAAGTTGCTGTAGTCAATTCTACAGAGGCTGGACTTTGAAGAGAAGTCGTTGTAGTCATGTTTGTACTGATAGAATTTGTAGCTTCTTGTATATTACTATTTTGGTATTGTTGTGTAAATATCCTCTGTGAACTGATGGGAGATTGAAAGACGACGATTCACGAATTTGGCGACTGTTTTTAATTTTTTTCATTAATTGTAGCACACTCATTTGGAATTCGAGGGCTTCGTCATCATCATACTTATCTAATGATGGTAATATCCCATTGAAAAATGAAAGATGCCGATTCATTGTTTTAGGCTCGTGATTTGAATAAGAATCCATAAATTTCATCATTTTCGCATCTACAGGACTAATCATATTCTTTAGAGATCTTTTAGGTACACGAGTCGGTATTGGGCTCTTTGTCGCCATTGTGTCATGTGTCTCTATTGAGTTTGTTTCCAATGATTCATTTCCTCCCTCATTATTATTTTTCTGGTTTTCGGATTCTGTGTTATTATCGGATTCCGTGTTGTTATTTTCGATAGTAACATTATTTATTGTCTCTTTAGGTTGTATTACTTTCTGCAGAAAAGATAACTGTTTACTATATACATACATATGTACGTTGTATGAACACAGTTCTTTTTGTGTTTAGGTTTCGATTTGCCCTGTAAATGATGTTTGCATTGATGGCAGCTATATTCAAAATCGCATAAAACACAGTCATGGGCCAACGCTTGCTATTACGTGAAACATCGTAGTTGACGCTCATTTCATCAACAACATCCACTCCAGCTTCTGTGGAGTTATAAAAGGTTACCATTTCTGGTTTCCTTTTATCTCCTGTTGTCACATCTATAAGGTCATCATGGTGAAGTGTAGACATAAGGATCACCACTTTATTTTTTTTCGGAGCGTAGGAAACAATAGAAACGTCTCTTTGGAACCCGAACATGGAACTTGCAGGTTGTTTTCCTGTCTTCAAAAAAGAGTTTGGAATACATCTTTTTTTTTCCGAACAGTAGCTGTAAAACGGTGTTCTGCTAGAAGATGCTTCATCAGTTTATAACTGGTAAACCAGTTGTCAAATGTAAGGTTGCGGTGGGACTTTGTTATAGACTGGACAAGTCTATCAACCACATCATAAGCCTAAGCCTTGTTACTAAAGGATTATGGACCATCAGGTTGCTTTCCAGGATACACTTCGACGTTAAAAGTGTAGAAAGATTTGGCATTTACAAGAGCATACGCTTTTATGCCATACTTCGCCGGCTTACTTGGAATGTATACTCTAAATCCACACCGACCTCGAAACGCCCATAACATTTCATCTATAGTCATATATTCATGTGGAATATAGGCTTTCTGGCAGTCTTGAACAAAGCTATCGAAGATACTTCTTATAGCTGCAATGTTCATGTTCAAATGAAAAGCGATATGCTTTTCACTCATTTCTCGTCGACTTGTCGTCAAAACGAATACAATTTTGTAAAAAATAAAACCTTTGTAGCGACATAGTTGTACGAAAAATATCAACTCCGGTTCCGTCGGTTCTCCATAAATCTTTGATATTTTGGCGGCCAGATTTATTGAGACCAGCTATATACAATAAACCAAGGAATGCGTCTAACTCAGAAATAGTTGTTTCATTCATGTAATATAATTTTGAACGATCGTTACATTTCTCTGGACGAATTTTTATTCTGCGTTTGTGTGTGTAGTTATTGCATTTTTCACTTCCATTGTTATATACATTTTCCAACATTCGGATTCGTTCATAGCTTCTTTTGCTTCGCCTTGCACCCCAGGCCGTTCGTTTACTATATTTACAGAACGAGTACGCACGTTGTGCCGCTGAGGTAGACTATACAATTTTTGGCCATCCTTAGCTACGTAGAAAGCACCCTGACCAGGCAAAGAATTACTCCGCAAACGACAGGGGAACATCGTGATCAGACTCGTCTTCGTTCTCATGCCCAGAACTACTTTCCACGCTACTAGCTCCCTGTTCCGTACCAGAGCTAATAATATGATCACTGCAGTGATCGTTCTCTAATTCAGAATTTGATTCTTCAGTAGAATGGTCTGGTACATCCTCTAACATAGATATGATACGTTCGTCGTCCATTTTGAAAAAAAAAAAACTAAAAGAAACCAAAGATTTAGGTACTACAATTAAAACAATGTAATAAAAAAAAGTTGCAACAGCTATGTGGCTGGGTAAAACTTACCCAGAGCACGTTTGCGCACGTATAACTCCCGTGCCGGCGCACGCATAACTGAGATCACGCCACTTTTCCCCCCCGCACACTCCTACCTCCAGCTACTGAGCGCCCCAAACGGATTCAGCACGAAATGGAAAAGATATAGTTGTTGAACTGAGCCATCATCATCATCAACAGCCTATACTAGTCCACTGCTTCACATAGGCCTCTCCTTAGAAAGGAGGTTTTATTTTTTAACTTAATAAGATTTTCTTTTAAATGTTTAAATTCACTGTAAATTAAATCTAGTTCTTCAAACATTACACGCAAGGGCTTAAAAAAAACAATTGCTTAATATAATTGATTAAATGAGATAATTAAATTTGCCTTACATAATTATGATTACAAGATTACATACCCAAATATCATAGCTTTCGCTGGAGTAAAAATGTAATAGGGGAGGAGGTTCACTTTCACATAGCTCGGGGGGGGGGGGGGGGGGGAACAGGTCACACTTCACACGTTTCACGGTTTTTCTCCTTATGCGCCTGGGGTGCTCTTTCAACACACTCCGCCCGAAATTACGCCAAGATCGCCGAAACATCACGTGGCTATCCAACTCTCTTCTAACTACTCGTTTATAGCACCGATAATGCAGTTTGTAGAGCCCATACAGCAGCGACAAGGCCATCAGCAGCAAAATCACGGCCAGTATAATGGTGGTTGAAGAGGCATGGAAACTAAGCTGCTCTATACGGGTATTCGCCTCATTAGTTTGACACAGTTGGGTTAAGACCATTTGGTGCTTATCGCCTTCGTTAGTTTTGTAAAGTATGTGTGTCCATACTGATCTTATTACAACTCGGCACCGTAACCTAACACCATCCTGGCAGGGTCGCCATGTAGGGTTCGGCGTAGGATGTCCAAAGGAAAGACGACTGTTCAGTATAAAGTTATATGATTTAATAATATAATATTGGTTACATTGTCCTTTATATACTTTGAGTACACACTTACATACACTATTATCTATACATAAACTATTCATACACCACAAGACCGTACTACATTCGCGATGAAAACCAAAATCCCACCGATAACATGATTGATTTGGCAGCTACCACAAGTACCGTACACGATGGTATTAATGTCAGAAACGAATTAAAACTGTTCTTTAACTCCAAAATAGGTCAAGTATCCTGGCAAAACAACTATTGCTAAAAAATAAAGTGAAGCTGATTGATGAAATAACTTACCACTTTTATTTAATTTTACCCCAATTTCAGACCACGTTTTGTCTTTCTTTCTGGTATTCCTATAATCTTCTACGCTTAAATCATAAAGCAGTGGGTGCTGAGACACCAATGTAATTAAAATCTCATCTTCTTCTGCGTTAAAATTCTCAACAGATGCCATTTTTGTAAAAGTAATCTCAAAATACAGCGACACTGCAAGCGCGGCCGAGCGACTGACGCGGACGTCTGTCAGTGTCGCTGGGCTCGAAAGCCGTTCCCTAGAATTTCATACATTTGCATAGAACATCTATCTGTCGCTCTGTCGCGGCGTCACAGTCGCGGCGACACTGACGCTATAGACGGTCAGTTCGAAAGGCCACCTTAAATTTAACCCGGCGAGGGTGTGGTGAAAAAAGTGACGTGGAGGATGTCGAGGGTCTTTTTGACCCTGTATGTCATTGCGTTTAAAATGGCATTTTTTTTATTTTGAAACCACAAATAAGATAAGTGTTATGAAAATTACATGCTATTTTTATGACATGATAATATAAAACACATAGTAGTATACAATATTATAATTAAATCAGTTTTGGCAAAGTACTACAAAAAAATAAACTTTTTCTTAAAATTACTCAACTAACACTAAAGTAACAAAAAATAGAAAACTTCTTATAACAATCAGCTTGTAATTTGGTACATAAGTAGGGGTCAATCAGTTTCACTTACAGTCTTATCATCATTTTATAAACTACATATCATTATTGTCTGTAGTTGCAACACAATTCTGGCAGAACGGAACAGTATGTTCGGGACAAATATATTTATGGCATTCGTCACAAACATTTGCTGTCTTGCGATGGCGGGCATAAGGACATACTTGGCATCTTTTTCGTACACCTGGAACTCTGACTCTTGTTCAGGTTCTCCACTGAATTCTCTTATCCTTTTGCGTAGCTGTGTAGGCAGTTGAGGTATTTCGGTAACAAGCAATCTGCCCAATGTTTTTATAAAAAATCGACGTTTTTGAATGGTCGTTGTGTTAGACCCGTGTATAATATATGCTTTAATTCCAGCCATATTGAGCATTGCATAGAAGATAGTAAGAGGCCATTTTTTTGAGTTGCGGCTCACATCGTATGATGCAGACAACTCATCTGCTACGTCTACTCCACCTTTAGTGGTGTTATAAAACGTGTTTATCTCAGGTTTTCTTTTCTCTCTTGTCGATTCATCAATTTCAGCATTGTGGTGAAGACTAGACATAAGTATAACAATCTTCAAGAAAAAACCAAAGAAACCAAAGATACCAAAAAAAACAAGATTGATTTTTTTTTTTTTTGGTATATGAGACACTAGCGTCATATCATTTTGAAAGGCAAACTTCGACCAAAAGATAGCTGCACTGTGACCGCGAGAATCGATAAATGCCTTTGGTAGTTGCCTCTTGTTCTTGCGCACTGTACCAACAGAAGTAAGCTTGTGCTCTTTGAGCAGATGAGATATTAATTCGTAACTGGTGAACCAATTGTCAAAAGTCACGTTGCGGCCAGTTTTCGAAATGGGCAACACTAAACGATTTACCACATCAAAAGGTTTATTGCTTACTAAATATGGCCCATCTGGCTGCTTTCCTGCATAAATCTCGAGATTGAAAATATAAAAGATTTTTGCGTCAACCGAGGCAAATATTTTTATCCGTATTTTGCAGGCTTTGACGGAATGTACTGACGAAATTTGCATCAGCCCCTAAATGCAAGTAACATTTCGTCTATGGTTACGTACTCATTCAGTATACACGGTGATTTTATAGGCGTTTTGGAAACGAAACATTTTAATTTGGAATCATCTATAGTACCAATAAAAATGATTAAATCAATTGTAATGTTGTCTAAAAAAAAGTTTCAGTTTTAATATTCATTTTTACTCGATCGACTTGGAAAGTAGTAATGGACTGATCATTCATTCATTATCTTATATGAATGAAACACGTCCGTGGGCGTTTCGGCGGCCGCTGCGCACCGCTGACGCTAACAGCAGCTGATAAAAGTATACCTATAGGCGCGAGCTAGCGAGTACTTACGTAGATAGACTCCAATTTGTCCTTCATACTTTACACGGGCTTAGGACCGTCGGAAATACCTATTTTATTTAAACTTCTTTTCGATTATTAACCACGATTGTTCTTTTCACAACAAATCAATTTATCAACGGACTGTAGGTATAAATATTTCAGGCGTATTTAAAAAATATCTACAGAAGGAGCTATCTACAGAATAATTAACTTACATACCTATTTACACTATTTACACTTCTCTGTATCGAAGCAACTGCTCAAAATGGAGTCCGCTGCATTCAATACACAAACGTCCACGTTTAATGCAATTGTTTTTTAATTTTCTTAATGTGTCTCTATCACTTTTCACTTTATCAAAAGCGTCCACTATCGCAATGCGTAAATTATCACGGCGTTCATATTCCCGTGTATAAACAAAACTTTTTATTTCCGACCATAAGAAACAATCCAGGGGCGTTAAGTCCGGGCTTCTAGGTGGCCAAGGCACTGGTCCTCCTCGACCTATCCACCGATCACTAAACTCATTGTCCAGGTATGCACGCACTACACTCCGGCAAATAATAATTTAAACGTCCTTGACCTTGCGCGTGAGTATGCGCATGAAATTATTCGTGGTCGAGAAGACGTTGGGTTGGAGCCAAGATGGTAGGTGTGGAGGGAATTTGAGGGCTTTCAATTCCACGTAGCCGTAGTGCATTTAAATGCTCCGGCTGGGAATACAAACGCCGAGCCTCTTCCAAGTTGTAGTTGGCAGTAGCGTACAGCTGTACCATTGCCAAGAAGTATTCCATGTTTGAAAATTCGTACTGTCGACTCATTTTAGCGCTAATCAATGTAGCGTGACGTCACGATGTTATGGTATTACTGACCGACTGAAAGCGAAGGACGCCTCACGATTATAGGTGAGTCCCGTGCATGCGCCTACGGGGCAGACGTCATTGGTTGGACGACTCCGGCGCAACTCGGTAGCTTTGTTTTTATTGGCGAATACGATTTTATGTGACTCGATATTAAAACGCATAGTATTTCTATTCGTAGTATATACTTACGTGTGATTGAATAGCCCTACTACTCACTACTGGTTCTCACTTTTTCTCTGTAAACGATATCAATATCGACTTTGATGATAAAAAAAATATATATTTTATTAAATTAACGTAATATATAGCTTCTGTTACTGATAAATAATTCAAAAATAAAAATGTCCTTTTCACCAGTTCTATCTAAGTGGCATTACCCATCAAGTTCAGTTAATGTCTCCTCCAGTTCAGCAGTAGTGTAAGTTTTACTTCTTTTTGACTGTCTGTTTTCTTCATCTGTATAATCTATGTGTTGCTCATTTTCCTTTTCAACAACAGTAGCATCTTTGTTAAAGTTATAAAAAAATTCTGATAACAAAAACTTAACAACATCATCTTTGGCATTCTTTTTGGACTTTGGCATCTTTTGTACCTTTTCCTTTTCTAATTTCTTACGTTCTCTATCTTCTTTTCTCTTTTTGATTCCTTCTGCCTTTTCTTGCTTAATCCAAATTTTTTCATTTTCTTTAGCTCTCTTATCTGCTGACGTAAGTACAAAAGGATTTTTAACACTATTTTTAACGCCTTTTCTCTGAGTTGACTTTGGTAGTAAAAGAATATCACTTAATTTAACTGGAGTCAAATTTGTAACTGATGGGGTGTTAAGTGTAGACATAGTAGTAGTAACTATTGGCATATCAATTAATGACTCTGAAACAATTTGAATTGAGTTATGTTTTGCCTTGTGTTATATTGGTAGTTGATTCAGGATTAACATTAATCTGAGCAGAATGGGTTACTATTTCAAAATGCGGTTCTTGGAACGAATACTCCATATCATTAGTTACATTAGAAGGCTCGATAATTTTTTCATATAATATTTTTTGTTGTCCATCTTGATTTAAAGAATCGCTAAAAATAACTTCCATGTTCTGAATATCAAGTCTGTTTTCTTGTCTAGTATTTAGCTCAACATCTATATTGTGGTATTGTGAATTTAACTTTGGTATATCATCTTTGGTCTGACTGAAGAAATACCAGATGTTTGTAATGGGTTCAATAGCCTCTTCTGGTCTTAAATTTTTCCTGTTATAATATTATTAATTTTCTGTTTGCCGACTATGTTAACAAAGTCATCGTAAGCGAGTACACGGCTTGGTTTTTGTTTATTATTAGGATTAGATACATTTTGACTACTTTTTTTAACTCCAAGGCACTTGCTATAATGCACTGCATTTTCATTCTATGGGCACAATCCAGTTGCTCTAAAACCGTTGACAATAGTTTGAGGTTTTTAAACTTTTATCTAAGGTATGTTTCAAAAGGGGCACAAATTATATTTTGGTTAATGCTTGAGATGGATTCGTTCTGCGCCATTCTAAAACAGTTTTGTGCCACTCTGTTTTAAGTGGTTTAAATGCTGCAACGTCCGCAGGTTGAAGAAGCCTGGTACAATTCGGATATAATGCTACTAGAACTATCTGTAGACTAGTACAAAGCTCACTTACAGCTAAGGTTAGATGAGATTTATGGCCGTCTATAAAAAGTATTATGGGAAACTTTTTCTTTGTTTTCACTAGATGAGGATGCAAAATATTTTTGATGTACTCGTAAAAAATATCTGAATTCATCCAACCGTTGTCACTTAATCCTACTCCCCAGTCTTCTGGAATCTGTGACGATATTTCACCTGGTAGTCGTTTATATGGGAAAATTACCATTGGCGGCGTAAGGTTGCCATCGGCACAAAATGTAAACATAACTGTTAGTGATGTTTTACTCTGAGCATGATCCACTTCATACACATTTCGGTCTCCCTTTGAGCTTAAAACAAGGCCAGTCTTAGGACAAAGTACAAAATTGGTTTCATTGCCATTGAACATGTTGTTGTATGTCAAATAAATTACTTTCGACAAAGTAATCTTTTATTTGTTGAAACCAGCCTCTAACGTCAGCTTCAGATACAGTTGAACTGGCAGCTGTTACAGCTTCAGGCGTTCGGAAAACAAGTGTTGGGTGGCGCACTAAAAATAATATAAACCACTTCTCACCATTTTAAAAAGAATTCTTTCTCTTGGATTTTATCAGAAAATCCTTAACGCTTTTAGGTCTTCTTTCCTTTTAGGGAAACCTTTCCTATTGCTGACTTTGATCCAATTTACGAAAATCAACTCCTCTTCAGGTGTTAATACAGTAGGAGGACTTGGTTTAGGTTTATGACCTGGATGTTTAAGCCTAAACTGCAGGGTGGCTCTAGGCACTTGAAAGGTCTTCGCAGCTAATTTTTGCTCATACCCTTTCCTACTTCCTTCAATGCCTTTTGCATATTTTCTTCCGAATAGTGCTTATGCGTCACCTTTTCAGAATTTCCCTTATTTGGATTTTTAGGTCTTGGTTTCATGTTGAATGTAGGTAGCTGAAACGTACCAATTACTGGCACCTTAATATTACCAATTATTGGCTCATGCTAATAAATGATTTTACCTTTGTTGGCACGGGGCCAAGATTTAGAACAACTCGAAATAAACTTATGAAATCGATTAATTTATGATATTTTTATGGTCAGAATGTTAAAAAAACATATTTCATATCGAAGGCAAACTTTTGAATAAAACCTATTTTTGGCATGAGTGCCAATAAAAAGGCTAACGACATATTTTTGAACCCTAATATTAGCATAGGTAAAAATATACACAAATCAACAATAAAGTAACAAATTATAGTCTAATAACATAGCTAATACATTTATAAATCACATAAAACAATATTTGTTGTTAAACTGTAAAAGATTATTCATCTAACAAAAGATAAATGAATGGTTCCCTGATGATGACGAATACATTTTTATGCATGACTCAGCACCGTGCCACAAAACCAGAAGTGTAACTGCATTTTTGGCTGAAAAAAATGACTCTGTTTTGCCTTGGCCAGGGAATTCACCAGACATGAATCTAATAGAAAACACGTGGGAACTCACCAAACGGGCGATCGCGAAAGAAGTGATTACCACTTAGCGACAATTGATTGAAACTCTCATCAGAGAACGGCATCACAACTCCAAACTCCAGGAAAATACAAAAAAATGTATTGAGAGCATGCCCCGACGCATAGAAGCTCTTATTGCAGCAAAGGGTAGCATCACTAAATTTAAAAAATATATTTTAATTATTTTTACCAATATTGATAATACTCATACGAAGAATATAAATCAGTTTTGTATATTTTTTTTGTACAAGGTGTCTCAAAAGAAAGTTTATATTTATTTAGCTTACTGCGTGAACGCAACGAGTCCGAGGGCGCGGGGGTTATGTCAATCGGTAGCCTGGCTCTTGGGAATTCAGTCGCTATGGAGCGTTTCTCGGGAGCAGACCGTGCGTTGTGCGTGCGAGAGTTTTACAAAAACGGTGATTCGACGACTGTAGCGCGTAGAAGGTTCTGTAGTGTTCGAGGTTTTCGCCATTTAAATGATGCGCCAAGCATTCCTCTTATTCGAAAATGGGTCAAAAAGTTTGAAGAGACCGGTACAAAGCTGGAAAAACCAAAATTTCGGGCGACCAAGGTCATCAAGAACGGTAGAAAACGTGGAGAGTGTTAATCAGTCTGTTTGTGACGACCCGAACCTATCAATTCGGAAGCGCGCAAGTGCTTTAAATGTGCATAGATCATCATTACACCGCATTTTGCACAAAGACCTAAAGCTGCACCCCTACAAAATTCAATTGGTGCAAGAATTAAAGCCCCAAGATGCCAGTCAGAGGCTTGACTTCGTAAATCAGGCGATTGAGCGCTTTTCAACGTTTACCAACATCTTGTTTTCGGAGTGGAGTGGACTGGAGTGCAATGAATCCAAACGCAAACATCAGAAACCCCTTCATTCGCCTAAAGTGACCGTATGCAGTTACAGTGAATTCAGAGCGTTATGTGGAGATGTTAAACGACTTCTTGGCGCCTGAACTGCAAAACTTTCCTGGATATAACCAAAGAACATGGTTCTAGCAGGACGGAGCAACGTCACACACGTCCAATACGTCCCTGCCACGAGAAAATTGATCTCCAGGAGAGGTGACATAAATTGGCCTCCACGCAGTCCTGATGTAACCCCTATGGACTTTTTCCTATGGGGTTATCTTAAATCTAAAGTTTACGCGAATAAACCGACTTCCCTGGCGAATTTGAAAGAAAATATCCGTCACGAAATGGCAGCCATCACTGAGTCCACCTGCCGAGCCGTCATTAGTAATTTTACTGTTCGATTAAATGAGTGCCGCGAACGCGAGGGTCTACATTTGGACGATATTATTTTTAAAAAATAAATTCCCAAATTGTGTACTTTAATAATTAATAAACATTTTTTCGATACACTTCTTACTTTTTTTTTAATCGATCTACAAAATATAAACTTTCTTTTGAGACACCTTGTAGTTTTTATGATCCTTATAGCATACAGATACAAATAAAAAATATATATGAGACCTACAACTAATCGTTTGTTACAGAAATCCAATTAAACTAGGAAATTCAAAAATTTAGATACTGTCCCTAATAATTTGGCCACCTACTGGTAGGTGGCCAAATTATTATCTGGATCAATCTATACTGGATCAATTTGGGTAAAAATAAATAAAATATTTTTTTAAATTTAGTGATGCCACCCTTTGCTGCAATAAGAGCTTCTATGCGTCGGGGCATGCTCTCAATACATGTTTTTGCATTTTCCTGTACTTTGTAGTTGTGATGCCATTCTGTGATGAGAGTTTCAATGAATTGTCGCTTAGTGGTAATCACTTCTTTCGCGATCGCCCGTTTGGTGAGTTCCCACATGTTTTCTATTGGATTCATGTCTGGTGAATTCCCTGGCCAAGGCAAAACAGAGACATTTTTTTAAGGCAAAAATGCAGTTACACTTCTGGCTTTGTGACACAGTGCCGAGTCATGCATAAAAATGTATTCGTCATCATCAGGGAACTATTCATTGACCTGCGGCAGTAATCGCGTTTCTAGTACTCGCTTGTATTGGTCTTGTTTCATAGTCCCTTCCACGATGTATAAGCGCCCCATGCCTTTGGCTGAGATGACAGACCACACCATGAAACCGGGTCTTTAACCTTCTCTACAAGGCAAATCAGCGTGAAATTTTTCACCAGGACGTCGTCTTACAAAAGAACTTTTGTCAACCAAAATTTGGAAGGTTGATTCGTCGGAAAAACACACCTGTAATTAATAGAATGAATAGTAGAATAAATAAATAAATTGTTATTGACCAATTGCATTATACAAAATAGTTACACTTACTGGACTCCAGTCTGCAATAGTCATATATTGATGTTGCCTAGCCCATTGGAGTCGTTTCTTTTTCATACTATCGGTTAGGCGTGGTTTTTTGGCAGGCCACCGTCCCATCAGATTCTCTTCGACCAACCGCCTCCGCATTGTCCTCTCTGAAATCTTTACGCTCTCTTCGTTTATCATAGTTGTTAAACGAGCAACGCTCTTTTTACGATTTTCGAGGCAGATGTTCCTGATTTTTCGATCGGTACGAGCTGTTGTAATCCTTTTCCTGCCATATTTGCCAGCACGATTTACTTTAAGAGGCTTTTTATTGTCAATTTTTATTTTTATTCGATTGACGACAGACTTTGAAACCCCAGCAATAGCTGCTATGTCTCTCTGGGAATGTGTGGAGTGCAGGAACAACGTTTGTATCTCTCTACATTTTCTTGGAGTCGTGTCCAAAGTCCTACCCATCCTAAAAAGTTTAAAATTTTGGGTTATCGTGTCGAACCATTAATAAAATGTAAACTCATAGACAAAACGTAGCCAAACTATTCTTATACGGAGCATTACTTACCTTTTGATTAATTAAGACACAAAAGTCGGTTAAAACTAACGAAAATATAATACCTAGACAATACAACAATAAAACCGAAAACCGCGCTTTTTACGGGCAAAGAAGAAACGTCACAAAATTGATAAAAAACGCACGTATTCTGTGTTGCCATTTGACAAAAACAATAATAATGATACCAGTTAATATATCAGATACAATAACAGCTTAAAAAAAAACATCATTTATTCAAAAAAATATGATAAACTATAAATTACATAAATACGAGCACTGTCCCTAATAATTTGGCCACCTATGGTATATTGAAACACATTTTTAATTATACTTATTTATTTTTATAAATTGTTTGTACTTTTCAATAGTGCTATCTTCAATTTTAGCTTCTGCATTCGAAGCTGACTTTCTTCATTTTATAAATTTTGATTTCTGTTTTGAATTTGAATTCTTAAATTATGCTCTTCCGTTGCAAATCTATGGATTTCCATAATATTTTTCATCTTGAGCTCATGTTCCTCTCTAATACAACTAAGAAGGACATGATTTCTTTCTTTTGCAAACTCTGTCCTAAAACAAATACAGATAATTTATTAACATTCACAGTTCAGGGTACCGAATGTTGCCTTCAGTTTGTTGGAAAGGAAACAATAAAGTTTTACACCATAAATCAGCATCCAATCAAATGTTTTTAGTGTATAGAACCACAAACTGTATATTATTTGAAAATGTCTCACAAGGAGTATGAGATTTACTTATAGGACCTAAACAAAAATAATAGCAGCCGCCAATTACCAATTGTTTTGGTTTATTATCATCATTGAATGGTAGCTTTCGTTTCATTACAGATTTCTTTTGATGTAAGAAATTGATCTTTGATGTTATTGGTGTCGTCATATTCTGTAACAACAAAAAAAAATATTAGAAAATGTAATTTAATTTTGCTTATAGGTGCATTGTAATAGATTACAGTGCATTTTAATCACTATTAATTTGAACGAAAACAGTTTAATGGTAAAGACAGCAGCTTGTGTAATATGAGTGTACACTCATCCATTACGTCACAAACTACAAGTATCCAGGCTAAAACAAGTTCTTAGGGATAAAGACATCAATGTTCCAGTAAAAAATATTGATATCTACAATCAATGTTGACAATTGCAAATACTACCCAGTGTACATATCTCTATTATACCCCATAATGTATGTTAACGTAAATTGACAAACCTCAGCTGTAATTTCTGTATTAGATACTGTTGGTGTGAGAACCAATTCCTGCGTATTAATACTATCATCTAGTTGTAGATCTTGTTTCTGAAATAAATATAGAAAATTAAATATGAATTTAAAGTAGCTACAATGAGTTTTTCTTTGTAATTATGCAAAATATACATATATTCATCATCATGTAAATCGGTTTATATCGTAAAAAGCCTGAGACCGAATATACATATCTCACATTTGAACTACCCCGTGATGTAAACAAATGTATATTAATTGACAAACCTTAGCTGTAGTTTCTATATTAGCTACTGATGTGAGAACAAATTCTTGAGTGGTAACACTATCATCCAATTCCATTTCTTGTTTCTGAAATAATTATAGAAAATTAAATATGAATTTAACATAGCCACAAAACAAAGGTCATTACAACAATTATATGTGGGCAAAATGCAGTTCCATGGAACAAACTTAAATTATCTCACCTTTGGACTCATACCAATGCCATCACTATCAAAGACATTCCTATCTGTTTCAAATTCTTGTGGAATCAGGTGCAGCACAGACGGCACACTTTTTGTGTGATCGAGTCTGCGGTCGCACAAAATGGAACTAATTGGCTTCTATATGGGCACCGAAATTCAGCTCGGTTCGAAAATATCTTTTTGGAGAAAAATGCCTAAACATGAGCAAAACTGTCACTTTCCTGTAGGGCGATTTTACAAAACGCAAGTTTTCTACTGACATAATACGTAAAGTAAGTACACATTCAATAAAACTTTGCTAAAACGAAAAAAGAAGTTGCGTGTCTCCCTAATTTCGATTCGATTTTTCATAGAATAGGGGCGACACTAATTGTGTATCACATTCCTGTCAGCTAAAAATACGTGAAGAATACCAATAAATTGTATAATGAGCACTGTTGCCATATTTCCGAGACAAAATACGTGGTAAAATAAGGTCACTGCCTCTTAAAGTTCCGACAAATCACCATTTTAAATTAATCTTGGTGTTAGTTGTAACCCATCAAGACCCAATTTAAGTGTGTTGAGAAGAATAAGAAAAGAAGAACAATCAGATAGTGATACTTCATATAACTCACCCAGAATCATCACCATCAACTAAGTCTCTTCAAATGGAATCAGCTTTTGACTGCAGCGAGATAATAGAAGCTGATAGAAAACAGGAGGCTTTAAAAATGTTACTATGTACATTGAATAAAATTACAAAGAACCCACGTTCTTATATTGGAGTTCCTAAAAATTGTTACTTTTTAATTGATTTGATTCAAGAGCACACAAATATCTCGTCTAACCACATTTTATTATGTTTAAAGAAAATTAGACTAAATAATTCATTTCGTGAACTTGTTGATGACTTTTCCATGGACACAAGTTATGCAAGCAAAATATTTTTGAAAAATATACCTATCATAGCAAGTGTAATATGTTCATTTATTGTTAAATTAGATAATAAACTAATTAAAAAAAAATACCTATAGCTTTTAGGCATAATTATAATAAAGTAACCTGTATCATAGATTGTATGGATATTGAAGTGCAAAAGCCCTCAAAAGCACTAAAGCAAGCTCTTTCATGGTCGAATTATAAAAAAGCTAACACAGTTAAGGGTATTTCTATGATTTAGTGCAATTCTGACAGATATGTGAGAAAATTTTCGATTCCTTGTTTTCAACTTTCACGAGAATTGGTATCAAGAACATACACTATTTATGTGATTTATACAAAATTATACGCATTACATAAGTAGATATTGACCGATGAAATTCTGTACTGCTGATGGTAATGAAAACAGTGGAGTTGGTAATGAAATTGGGGACTAAGGTAATGAAAAAAAATTGCTGGTAATGAAATTAGTCTAAGATAAATGAATAAAAAATGCTGGATGAAGATGAAGTAAATAAAATCTCGTAAGTTTTACACATGCAGAGTTTATTCTTTAAAACATAACAAAAAAATATTCAGTCTCCCATTGCAAATTAAATAAGTTATCTAATCGGTCATGTCTTACTTAAGAAGCTACGAGTTGAATTAAATATAAAATTATAAGTACTTAACATACTGATTCAAAATCACTAGAGTTATAGTAAGCTCTGGTTTCTTGTCGAAACATATTAAAAAACAGTTATATAATTTTTAAATTGCAGTTATGTCATGCCGCCAAAAACATTACTGCGTTTTAAACTGAACAGGGCAGATAATCTCTATAATAATACAAAAAGTAGTAATAATACAAAAAAAATATTTAACAAAAAACAGTCTCAAGCATGCTAAAAAAAAACAACTTCTTAGTTCTACATTCCTAACAATGTCAATTCTTTGGATTTGGTAAATTAAAAAATATTTTCATCATCACAATCATCAAAAAACCAGGTAATACGTGTTTTTTTCTTTAAAATTCTGACTTCTTCACTTATTTTTCCTCCACTGCTACTATCATCTGAATGGTAAAAAAACTTTTTCTTCGCTTTTCTATCCTTTTTGAGTACTTTTCTTGCACTGTCACTTTCTGTAATATAATCGGGATTATTTTGTTCTTTTTCTTGATCTTTTACCGCGACTTTTCCAGAAACAAACTTTTGAAAATCCAGTTGAAAATTGGTATTATCTGTTTTCTTCATTTCATTGCCAATAAAGGAAGTGTTGGTCCAATGTACTTTTACGTCAGATAGTATGGTGATTTTGTTATTATTTTGGGCTCTATTTGATGAATTTTTCATATTTTGTGATGCTTCAGCTGCTGATCTATTCAGGAATTGATTAGTAGGGGAAGGTGTTCGAGGATTTGTCACTTCTCGAAGAACTTCGTTCGTCGTGTTTTCATTTAAGAAATCTTGTTGATGTTCAGGATCGACATTTTCATAAAGACAAGGTAAGTTCATAAATCCAAGATGGTAGTTATGTGAACATATATCACCGTTTTCACACAAGAAGCAACTTAGTTTTCGGAAGGTTATTCGAAGCCTATCAAATGACCAAAGCACTTGATGCACAGACATAGTTCCACGAAATCCTTGAACTGACGAGGGAAATTTTCTGTCTTCAATGTCTTGCTCTGAGACAGACAGAAGTTTGACATTCTTTACCTTGACTTGAATGAGCTCCCAAAAGTCGTTCATTGTGCCAATGTCATTACCGAACCGTACAATTTGATCTGCGGTTCTCTTCAGGACCGCACCAACTCCATCTGGCGCTCCTTTGCCGTGTCCGGCCTCTAAATAGTTCCAGGTTATAAAGTTTAACTCTGGAAAATCCTGTTGCAGTTGACTAATAACGAAGAAAATGTAGCGATTCCTATATTGACTTGAAGGGCTGTCAGATACGAAATGTACTGTATCTATCAGAGGTGATATTTCCCTTACATAACCTAGTAGTGGTATGAGATGTGCCCATATAGCACTTGCGTCATGTCTATTACATTCTTCAGACTTCATGATTCCAGTTTCTGGATCAATTAAATACGCAACCGCAGTATGCAATGTTATTTGCAATCGACTACCGCCGAAATGATAGCTTTGTATCTCCTCATTAAATTTGACAGAGTAATTTTCGGAAAAATCTATGTTTAACATAACCTCCTTGGTAGTCATTGTCGCTTTCAGAGATTTAATGCTCTTGTACTGAACAATGATGTTAGTACAATGTTTAAAGTATGATTTCAGAGAATTTTTCAAATTTAAGGATGTAATCTTGTAATCGAGTTTTTACGGTAACAATTTTTGTTTTATCTTGTCCTTTCACATTGTAGGTTTCTTTTTTTGCGCACCACTGATAATTGTTTATTTGCTCTTCATTGTTAAATTCTTCATAGTTAACTACTCTGTTTCGACATACCTCACATGTTCGATTTAAGCATTCTTCATTGTGTATATCACAGCACAAGCTTTCCAATATAGCAGTTCCATTTGCCTCTTTAGTGATTCTTTTCTTGTTAAGACTTGACTAATAAATCAAAATTTACGTGTATTTTACAAGCACATGTATTACGATCAGATTCTTTTGGATAGAGAACCCAAAATGGTCGATATTTACAGAACGTAGAATATCCAATATTACTGTATTGAACGTGCATAAACTTTTTATGGAGGTTGGTTAATGTGTCCAATAAATAGCGTTTTTGCTTTCTTTGTCCATTACGTGTGATAAATTCTTTTTTATCAGGGGAAATTTTAGTATTGCAGTCGTCTTCGAAAAATTCTTCTACGTCTTGTTTGATTTTACTCTCTGTATCCATGTTTGATTCATTGCTGTGACATATTTTGTTTTTATCTCGCACTGTAAATTTTGACGTTTTACCTAAAACCATGTGCTTCTTGAAACGGTCTTTGTCACTCATGACTATATCGCTAAACTCTCGTTTTTCTTTCTTTCTTAAAACTTTAAATCCATCTCTTAAATTGTTCGATATAATTTCTCCAAATAATATTTTTTTCTTTACTTCTCGTTTGTCTTCGTCTATTGATTTTATCAAATTATCCACTTTCTCACCTGTCGATGGTTTTGCTTGTATTTTTCGTTGTTTATTTATTTGCCTCATCAACATTTTTCTCATTGCATCCTTTTCTTTAATAACTTTTTCCTTTTCCTGTTTAAGTTCACCAATCTCTTTCTTGTAACTATAACGAAGTCTACTTATTAACTTATCCTTTTTCTGACACCGTTTGCAGTTTATGTTAGACACCTCAACTGATTGGTGTGATGGCCCTTCTAATGGGTCTTGGTCAGCATCTACATTTTCTTCTCTATCACTTGTTGGAGGTGAATTATCAATCAGCATCTGTTGTATTACCCTTTCCTTTTTCTTTTTCTCTAAATAACGCCTATTATTTTCGTTCCATTTTTTTCTTTGAAGTCTTTTTTCCCTTGGTGTCATTTTAGCAACAGATTTTATTTTATTTTGTTCTTTTCGCTTCAAGTATCTCTGTCTCTCTTTTTCCTTCTGAATTGCATATTTCTCGGGATCGTTTTTAATTTCCTCGTATTTTTTTCCTTTTATGTAGTCTTGCTTGAGCAAGCTTTTCTTCGCGAGTTTTTTTAGTTTTTTGTTTTAGCCATACTCGTTTCCTGAAAAGGATAATATTTGTTAGAAACCCTATTATGAAATCTTACATTAAGGTGATAATAGGGGCTATTTTTTAAAAAATGAACAGGAAATATCTTATAAATGACCTCTTCTTAATATTGAATGCCTGTCCACTACTTTTAATTTTTTCTTTTAGTTTTAGATACCATTTTTAACAATAGTGGCCACTATTAGCAAAAACGCTACTAAAACTAAAATGAAGCGTTGTGGAGAGACATTCATTTGATAGATAGCGTTTATTTGATACCCATGTAGCTATGGTAAGAAAAAAACAATTCCTCCCCCTCCCCCTGCACTTTTTACATTTGCGAGCACCATTTTCAAGATTTATATAGCCTATGTCACTACCACAATTTTGAAAAATTCAACGATACCTCATTTGTCAAAAACCGTCCAGCCATTTAGGTTGTAGAGCGTGCCAAAGAAATGGACATATACATACATACAAACATACGCTCGAAAAACATAACCCTTCTTCTTACGCAGTCGGGTAAAAAACATATTAATAGGGTTGAATATTATATCTCATAGAATAACATGAAAAATTCATTACCGTCATTTCAGTCTCATTACCCTCACCTTCAAAGCTGATGGTAATCGATGGTAATGAAAGTGAGGGTAATGAATTTTTCAAACTATTTGTCAAATTACTCTGCAATTAATCGATAACGGTACATGATGATAATTATAAACATGAACACACATACAACAAATGCCTTAAAACGAAAAGTATAAAAAAACCACAACTACTTACGTCAAAAATCCGCTGAATGTAATGAAACTAAAATTGGTTGAAGCGCCTAGTTGTCGAACTTTTTTAACTGTCGCGAAAAAAAAGGCGCGCGTCCTGCCCCTTTTGTTGTTGCTGGCCGACTGACCCGCAAATCCGGAGGGTGGAAGGGGTGCTCGATCCAGGTACGATGCATTTAAAGCACGATGTTTGATATTTCAAGATAGGCTGAAGGTAATGTAATATTTTTTACGACAAATTGTTTTTATCACAATGTATGAAAAATTATAACAAAATTATAACTTGCAAAATCATAATTAATTTCCTTATTATGTTCTTGAGGTTTCTCAAGTAACAATACGCAGCATAAACCTCTACGTATATTTAACCCTTAAATGCATGAATTAATAAATTGTACTGAAAAAAATGGTTTCAATTCTTTAGAAGCTGTGAAAAAGGGGAAAAAAAATAAAAAAAAAAAACAATTCAAATTTTATAGGTTTTTAATAAAAAAATCAAGTTGATGCATTTTTGGGACATTATGCAAAATAGTCTTAAAAAATGCTTTTATTAATTAACTGTGGAATAAGTTGAAACAATCGTTTCCTTTCTTTGCACAAAGGAATACATTGCACTTTGTGCATTTTACAAAGCTCTGTAGCTTACAGCCAGGTCTCTTGCACCTCATGCGTTGGTCGGTTTTAATTTGGCTATGACCAAGATTGTCTAACCGAACGTCAGACGGTGGAAGAACCTGGCACCCTTTCTTTCTTTTTGCCTTTATGGTTTCAGTGATGCTGCTGTTGCTAGGACGTCCTCTTGTTGGCTGGGTCGTAGTACCATAGGTACATAAGACATCAGCCAGCTCTGACCTGAATTCTGACAGATTTTTCAGCTTCTTTGGATCTGCTCCTTTTCTTGTCTCTACAGTTTTGTATAGAACCCAAGAGTTTATAATAGTTAAATCTAAAAGGTGGTAAAAAATCCTCATATACCATTTCCTGGTCTTGACTTTTATTCTATATCTGCCCAAAAATGAATCCATGAGATCAACGCCCCCCATATGGGCGTTGTATTCTTTGACTATTTTTGGGCAGTCTATAATTATTTTTTTCTTTTCTGTTTTGTCATACCGTTCGATGGACTGTATTGGTTCAGCTCCTACGTAGGTCGAGAGCAGAACTACTTGTTTGTTATCTTTCCAGCTCACTGAAGACATGTCGACCCCATCAATATGTGTAATATATTCCACATACGACCCTCTTGGCACTTGTTTTTTCATTACATCCTGCTTTGAGGGTAATTTACATTTCTTACCTAGGCGGTTTCTTTGAACAGTTCCTACACATTGTATTCCTTCTTTAGCAAAATAATACATCAAGGGCAATGTGGTATAGAAATTATCATGGTATATAATGTGATTAGCATGTCTGGGAATTATTCTAGCAAGTTTTATCACTGTTTGTGATACAACCCCTATATCAGGCTCGTTAGGCAAACGATCATCTTTTTCTTTGCCAGCGTAAATTATAAAGCGATAAGCAAAACCTGTCAGAGAACACAATACAAATAATTTAAAACCCCATTTATGGGGTTTATTAGGCAAGTATTGTTTTAAAAAATGGCCCATCTTGGTGGCACACATTTGCTCATCGATGGATAAGCGCTGACTGATTGGAATGCTGGAGAACTTGGTATTGAGATGTTCAATTACAGGGCGTAGCTTGTGAAGTCGGTCATGCTGGGGATGATCTATTGGTAGGTGTTTATTGTTATCGTTGAAGTGAAGTACTCTTCTTATTTTTTCAAATTTATTGACAGGCATCGCTTTTATAATTGCCTCAAACCCGTGCTTGTTAGCCCAATAACCACGTACACTTGGATAGTGGTAGACACTCATATAAATCAAGATTCCCAGATATTTTCGCAGTTCTCCTAATGTTATGACGTCAGGTCTATCAGGTTTATTTTGTACAGCATAATTATTTGTTTCAGTAACAATTTGTGAAAGAAATTCTTCAGTAAAAAAGTAGGAAAAAAATTGGAAAGGTGTCTGAAGGTTCATCAAACTTTCAGGGTATTCTTCAGTTCCATTAAATTTTATGGCATTTTCGTTGAATGGCAGAGGTTGGTTTTTCCATATCAACCTCTGAATGTCTAAAGAATGTACCGGTGCATCATTATTATTTGAAGGAACAGCATCCGCTATTACAATAGGAGGATCGGGTATAATTTCTTCGTTATTATCATTAGACCTAGCCTCACCGTCGTCATCATCATTTTCTAAAACATCTAGTAAATCTTGTTGGGTAGGATAAAAATCAAGTTCGTCACCGTCCGATTCGAAATCGTCTTCAGAAATGGCGCCATCTTCTAGCTGGCGCAACCAAAACTCAATGTCACCATCTCTCCTATTATTTTCTGCCATTTCTAAAACAAAATAACCAACCACATGCATACCTCACCAAAGCAAAATAAATAAAATCACAAAATGTATAGCTTCAAATAGCAGTAGTAATTTTTACCAATAGTGCATGCTGTCCCATTTTTGCATCAAAACAAAAAAGCTTCCTGTTCATATAACAATTATGGTAAATTGAAAAAAGGATAAGTTATTGTATAAATAATAGTCATTACCTTTAGAAAACAATTTTTTTTTCTCCAAAATCAACAAATAACTTCGTGATATATGTCGCCAAAGTGCACTCAACTCAAACCTATTTGAGAAACGCGCGCCAAAAAGTGAAATGTCAATCAGCCACAGATAACAACACAAAATGTCACTAGTTGAGTTATTCTATGGTTAGAGAAGGAGCAAAAAAAACATTTCATACAGCCTAATGTATCAAACACAAATATTATGGACGGATATTGGTGGTTTAATGTGGTGATTCAATTTTGGGACACTATGCATTTAAGGGTTAAATAAAAATGTTTTTCTTACTCGTCGCAAAAAAGACGCTGAGGGTAATGAAATTTAACCAACTAAAATATTATTTTGAGTTAGTATCTCGTCATGATTAATGTTAATTCTTATTGGCATTAAAAGTAAGGCTCCCAATTATAGATAAAACATATTTGTGGGCTTTTAGGATGTTTAGATTCGCCAAAAAATTCACGGACATGTGATTTGCACGAGATCAGAGAAGTACCCTTAAATATCTTGTGTCTTGCACGCCAAACAGGTTAGTCAATTATATTTCCCCTGGTTATGGAGGACGAATAACAGACACATGCTTGGTAGAATCCTGCGACTTAATCAAATGTTTTCAACCGGGTATTGTGTGATGGCTGACAGAGGATTCAAACATGTGGAAGTATATTTGCGTAAGAGTGGAGTGTTACTAGTACGGCCTCCAAGTGTTGTTTCTGGAGCTAAATTGCCTAAAACTGAAGCTGAGGAAACTAAACAAATAGCCAGCTTAAGAATTCACATAGAACGGGTGATTAGACGTTTACGGGAAGAACAATGGCGAATTCGTAGTTAAGTATAATTTGAGCTTCTTAAAATGTCATTCACAGGAAACTAATTCTAGTAAATATCTACGTCTTTTCAAACTATTACCTAAGTCAGTAATACCCCAGGAAAAAAAAAGAAAAATGTAATAAGCTTATTTAATTATTTTAATTTCCTTTATCAGTTTAGTGTTACCATTTTATAGCCATATTTTTCATGTAGTGGCAATACTGTCCAAAAAAGTATCATAATATGGTAATCACTTAATAGTAATAATTGGTAATCAGATAATAGTTTTATAATTCTAAGTACTGAATCAATAAATAATATAGTTTGTGGTGCATTATTAAACGCATTGTTTACGAATTTGGATATAAGGAAGTAAAAAAAAATAAAGTGGCAACTGCAAGCTGAAAAAAAAAGCAATGGTTTTATGACAACTCTTTACAGATGTTTGCGCTCTGTGTTTAAAAATAAAGATTAAACGTCTGACACGAATGGCCGCCGCCGATTATATTAGTTTATGTTTTGAATTTACAATTCATTGCATGTTGAAATAGGTAATAAATTAAGGAAAAGGAAGATACTTATTGGATATTATATATGCGGATGTACTTATGTACATTCGCATATATAATATCCAATTATACTTATGTAATTAATATTAAGTAATATTAAGTCATTATATCCAATTATACTCCAATTAAATAAGTATACTTATGTATAAGATGATTATTTCATGCATCAGACACATTAAGTGACATAACCTACGAAAGTTCTACAGCTAGTGGACTATAATAATGCTTTATTATCTTTTTTTTATTTAAATGGCACATATACAGTTACAATTATCAAACAGTAATGTAAAGTCGATAGCCATAGACAAATTAATATTTTTTTTATATTTTTTTCACTACAAGACGATGCATTTGATTCCAAATATTTTTTTGTATGGAGACACGCTATTGTTCTTTAATATGATAAAACCACATGCTTGTCTTAATTTAAATTTGGTCAAAGTTCTTGATGATGTGGTAACAATAGAATGTGGTTTAATTAACTTACAAGGTTCTCTGATAAAATAAATAGACACAAGAAATTTCTGCATTTTTATTTACTCCTCTGTACCTTTATATAGGGTTTTCCAATAAGAAGTGTTATTTTAGTATTCAAAGAAAAATGCAATTTTTAAGATAAATAATCGGCTGTTTATTTTATAATAAAGAGGAAGGTATGCCGTTAATAATGGAAGATAACATCAGCCAAATGGCTACCACGACCACGCTTACAGGACCATATCCTTTTAATGAAATTTTGCATAACCAAATCGCAAAGTGGCTGCCCTATGTCCTCGATAGCCTCACGAATTCCGTCTTTGAGGTCTTGAATCGACGCTGGGCTGTTGGCGTAGACCTTATCTTTCACGAGGCCCCAAAGGAAGAAGTCGCAAAGTGTAAAATCACAAGATCTCGGTAGCCAATTGTGATCACCTCTTCGAGAGATAACACGGTCAGGAAACTTTTCCCGTAAAAGAGCAATGGTTTCGTTGCTTGTGTGGCACGGAGCGCCGTCTTGTTGAAAGTAAACGTTGTCCAGATCAATACCATCCAACTCCGGCCATAAAAAATCATTAATCATATCTCGATAGTGCAATCCATTCACCGTAAGTGTTGATCCAACCTCATTTTCGAAAAAGTAAGGTCCAATGACCCCGCCGGACCATAAACCGCACCAAACAGTCACACGTTGAGGATGGAGAGGCTTCTCAACAATAACTCTTGGGTTTTCCGAGCCCCAGATGCGACAATTTTGCTTGTTGACGTAGCCTCCTAGGTGGAAATGGGCCTCATAGGTCAAGATGATTTTTCGATGGAATTCCAGATCATTTTCATGCATTTCAAGTACCCAATCAGCAAAGACACGACGTTGTTGATGATCGGCCGGCTTGAGTTCTTGTGTTAACTGAACTTTTTAAGCCTTAAGACCCAAGTCTTTATGCAAAATACGGTGTAATGACGTTTGTGAATGAATGAATTTCAAAGAACGACGAGGAATGGACAAACCTGCGTTTTCTTCAACACTTTGGGCTACAGCAGCTATATTCTCAGTTGTTCTTGAGCGACGTGCACGGGTTTTATTCTTCACATCACTAACTTGTCCCAACAGCTCGAATTTTTCCACCAATTTCTGTATAGCGGTCCGACAAGGTGCTTCACGACGACCAAAAAAATGCTTTAGTTTTGCGAACTGTGACTGCAAGATTTTCACCATTTTTGTAGTGAATTTTAATAATTTCAATGCGTTGTTGAAGTGTGTATCGTTCCATTTTTAGTAATGGCGTAGTTTCTACTTGTCACCTTTCAAAAAATAAAAGCTTCAAAAGTGACAGCTACCGAAATACCGGATGATTCAAAATAACACCTCTTGTTGGAAAATCCTGTATAGTATTGGATGAACACGGGATTTCCAGAATGTAATGATGATTTTAAGAAAATTGGACACATAATCTTCATCAAACGTAACACAGAATTTCAACATTTTTATTATTACTATAATTAGGGTCTGCCACACAAAAATAACACTTCTTGAGTCCACTCAAAAACATTTGTATCTGCATCTGGGCATAGCATTTGTTACTGGGTTTACCATTTTTTATTTATTTATAAGTTTTTTCGCTTATGGGGCACTTAATCTCAATAATATTATCTTCACATATACCATCAGGTGAACCAGCTATCATTGGATAGTTTTTGGTTATTATGAGTCCACACACAAGCTTTAATCTTTTTCCCCAGTTTTACACCAACTGTTTTCCGTACTTCATCCTCTAAACTTCTACCTCGTTTCATGGCTCTTGTGTCTGGGATTTTCCATCACCATTTTGGCACCGGCTGACTTCATAAGCCATAGATGCTGTAATCCGACCATATCTTAATTCATACCAAAGGCTATTTTTGTACTGGTCTCTGGTCTCAATCTCAATTTTATTTATGATTTTATCACTCAAATTGATTCTACTTAAGAATATATCACTGCAATTATCTTTATATTTCAGCACAAGCTGGTGCATTGATGCACAAAGTAATTATTTACAAACATAGCTTGATTGAAACCTTATTAGCTCACTACTTTCTAGTTTTCTCTTTTTACTTTCTTCCAAAAAATAATCCAGCACTGTTTGATTAAATGGTAAGATAGGTTTACCATTGGCCAAATCTTTAGCAGTAATAAATTTCAATGTAGTGCCATCTCTGGACAGTTTGGATTTTAGCGAATAGCATTGTACTTCAGTAGAAGATGGTTCTTCGCTCCTGCGATGGACCCACATAAGAAGTGCTATGTGCTTGCACCCTCCTTGAGCAGCAACACAATCATGGCATTGAATAGATATCACTTTTTCTTCGTCTTCATCAACTATCAAAGTTACTGTATATAACTTTGCATGGACTTTATGCTCTAGACAAATTTTGCATTTTACAGTGCACATTTTTCCTTCTCTTTGAAGTTGCACGTAACTTATAGCGTTGTCCCCATATGATGGTCGGGAGGATCTAAAATGAATGAAATTGATTAAATTATACACAAATACAGAAGGTAAAGAAAATATGGTAGTTATTAGTGCAGAATAAACAACTGACATTACATAGATGTTTCATTTAAAGGTGTAGAGGTGTTTCATAGTTAAATAAATGCAAATATTCAGTGCTTATTGTACTAATGCTGTTTTGAAATTGTTAGGGTGTTCTTTACTTGCGAGTGAAACGGGTGTAAGTCATAATTGCGACGTTCATAATCGCGATGTACGTTACAGCGAATGTTTATTATGTGATTTTCTAAAACACACAGCGTTGATGTGAAAAACACTGTCGTGAATAGATATCACTTTTTATAACTATATAACTTATATAATATAACTATATAACTTTGTATAACTAATTGCCTATGGTTAAAACTTACCGGTTTGTCTGTGATCTCTATACTTATCTCTTTCTCTCACCAGTGTACGTCCTCTTCTTTCAAGTAGGAGGATGCTTACATTAAATTTAATAAGAGAATAATTTACATTAAATTTTTAAAATTTGGTTGATTTAACACACAGTGCTTATTATAGTGATTAGAAAATAACAACACGATGAATCTGACACTACATGGATCCCCAAGAGCTTGTGAGAGCTTCTCAAGAGAAGCTTGTGAGGGGGGTGAAGATTTTTCGAGAATTGATGCTTCGGAAGAAGATCAATCTTCGAACGCCTTGCCTAATGATTCATCATCCTCTTCATCCTCGGAGGAGGAAGAGGGCATGGCGTCACTCCCACCTAACAAGAGGTGCAGGCTACGTAATTACGAACAAATTCCACCTAACTCAGACCCACGCGTAGACACTTTGATCCAGCAGGTCGGTTATATTTCTCAATATCTTACACAATTACTCTTAGTAACTTCCACCTGCACGTCAGGTGTTGAACATCAGAACAATACTCTTCCATCAATATCTGCATCGCAATTCCTGAATAACCCAGCAACTTCCTCCCATTCTTATAAGCTCTCGTTAGGCGAATTGGGCACAGAATTTGGTGAGAAGTGCCTTGTTCCGCCAGCTAATAAAGAGCGCTTACAAGAGCTAGCTCATCTCCAAAAATTTGACTGGCCAGCCTGGAAGAGCATTCGATATAAGAAAGCTCTCCAGTCTTGCATTGCAAGCCCAGGCTTTATAGGTTTGAAATTAAATGACTGTTCTTCAACTGAGCAGTTATTAGCAGGTTTATCTAATAATATATTAGAACAAAGATACTTAATCAAGACAGGGTTACAAGACCTACTTGATTGGGCTTTATCAAATTCAAATAATGTAGATCCAAATAGTTTATTTCAGAAAATGATAAGCACCTTTGGCCCAGGTTCACCCACTTATAAAAAGTCAGAAACTGCAATGCAGATAGTATGTGGTAAGAGAGCAGAGAGCATTGAGGTGCGTCGAGATCGCATTCTGAAAGAGATTGAAAACCCCAACTTACGTCTTACACTGCAGAACATCCCCCCTAGTCAAGAATATCTGTTTAGCCGAGAGGCCTTGCAACCGGTTATAGCTTCTCTGGGAGGATCTCAAATGTGGCTAAATACTCCGTCTTATGATAGAGAGTAGAAATCATATAATATATCACAATCTCAGTACAGGAAACCTCACAAAACTCACAGTAGAGACTATAAAACTCATTCCAAGAGTTATAAGTTACAAAATAAGGATTATAAGTCACAGAATAAACAAAACTTTAAATACAAAAGTAGTCAGCCCTTTCGTAAAGGCTATTCAAATACCAACCAAGCCAATAAAAAACAGAGTTGACTACCAAGCCAGAGTGTTCAGAGGGGGTTGTCTAAAAGAGTTTGCTCACCTTTGGAAACAAAGAGGGGCCAACAATTACATTTTACAGGTAATAACTGGAGCCCGCATCCCTTTCTCGAAGAGACCACCCCTACAGTATCCGCACAGCCATGTCTTAAGAAAATTTACCACAAGGACCTCAGCAGAGATGACGAACATAATTTGTCAATTAAAAAAGCAAAACATACTAGAACCTCTGCCAGTCATAAATACAGGTTTTCTTTTTCTTTATCAGATGGAGGTCTACGCCCCATATTCGATCTCAGAGGTCTCAATTCATTTGTAACAGTCAAACATTTTCAACTGATTTCACAGACAGATGTAACAGAATTTCTGCAGATCAACGATTGGTTAGTGAAAATAGAGTAATATTTAAACATAAAAAATATGTTTTTAACTAATGAATGTCTATGTTGAATACAAATGAATGAACTAACTGGTCCGGCACCACAAATTCTAACAAAACCAATAATCTCGGGCGCCAGGTGCCGGCTTAAATGAACATAGACAACTAATAACAAATACAATAAATACCTGGACTAAAGACTTTTAATCTAGGGTGGGGGGAAGCTATAAAATAAAGAGATGTTATAAGATTAAGAGGCAGTTTATTTATCCCGTAGTGTCTGTAGAGTACATGGAATATTATAGATCTAATTACAAATGTAATTCTTATTCTCAAATTAGTTCTGTCATTAATGCAATCCGTCCGTTTACCTTGATAATACATGCTAAAGGTAAAATAAGGTGTTGTTAATCCCAATGGGTGCGATCATCCCATAAGGAGTCGACTTGAAAAGTCACGTAAAGACTGTTTAATACATAAAGAAGTTAAAGGTAGCTATCCTAATGACCTACTCCCATAATAATAATAATAACGCCCCTTAGAGCCTACAGTATCCGTTATGACAACGCCAGTAAAAATTCATAAACAACAAAAGACATATCGATAACGCCGGCACAGCCCGTTTGTAACTATGGTAAAACTAATTCCTATAACGCTCACTCCTTTTCTCCACGTGGTTGTCGTTATGGCGGGATAAGTAATCCATCATTTCTGATTCCCATCCCAAGTGAATCCAAATAATGGGCTACAGTCAGAGGACTTTTCCTGTCATTAGAGGTACTTAGGAAAGGAAATCCACTCTCCGAAGCAAACTTAATCCCAGGGTTCCAAAACGTCGCACAAATAAATTGGAGGCATTACTAATAGGCAATTACTAATAGGCATTACTAATACCAAAAAGGCAAAATAATATTTCCATTGAAAAAAAACTCCTTTTCTTAACAAAACAATAAAAGGTGATTTAACCCTCTGATTATAAGAAATGGAAACGGATTACATTTCTGTCTTTTAAAAATCACAAACCTGTCAGCACTGTTCCGCTTCGCCCAGGGAAAAAAAAAGTCTTGCCAGTGCAAGTGGTGCAAAACTGCAATCGAATGAATACTTCCCTAGAGTAAATAATTCCATGGACCGAGTCACTACAATAGTCGAATAAAATAGACAAAAAAATCTCGACTGTGACGCCATCTCAGAAAATTCATGTGTCAAAACAACCTACAAAATAACAACACGTCGATAATTAACTTTTCTGTAATGGTGCAAAATGCAACGTTACAATAGATATCCATCAGGCATATTTTCACTTACCAATTGCAGAGACACACCGACGGTTTCTCAGAGTAGTTTACAACAACGAGCTACTTCAGTTAACAGATCTACCATTTGGCCTGTCATCAGCCCCAAAGATGTTTGCCACAGTTTCAAATTGGATTGCGGAGATCCTGCGGGCACAGGATGTCCGGATACTTGTGTATTTGGACGATTATCTACTACACAATTAGGATCGACAGATGCTAGTTTCTCAGGTTGCGGAAACGCTGAGAACATTGGAAACTTTGGGAAGGCATCTCAATTACGTGAAGTCAGTTCTAGAACCGTCTCATAAGCTAGATTATCTAGGCCTGATATGGGATACACAACAGAACAAAATGAAGCTCCCTCAAAAAAAAGATAACAAAAATAAAATTATTAATTTCCAAGATGGTAATCCAGGGCAACAGTTCTTTAAAAGAACTGCAGAGTTTATTAGGTTTGCTCAACTTTGCAAACTACACTGTCCCCAGGGGCCGACTACATTGCCGCAGGTTACAACTTTTTCTAAAACAATTCCACCAGGGAAGGCGAAGAGAAAGAAAAGAAATTCCATTACTTGTTCAACAAGACCTAAGATGGCGGATAGAGACTGTGGAGCACAGCTCACCGCCAATAATAAAACAGAGAGTGACTCATTTCTTGTCTACAGATGCAGCGGATACAGGGTGGGGCGCTCAATTAAACAACAATTTCTTATCAGGGAAATGGGCCCCATTTCAGAGACCTTGGCACTCAAACATAAAAGACGTGTATGCTGCATTTGCTGCAATCAACAGTCAGCGGATGACTCTAGTAAATGCACACATTTTGATACAGTCAGACAACAGAACTCTCGTTGCATATCTCAGGAACGAGATGACTCGCTCCATAGCACTGCTAAAACTGACAACAAAGCTTCTAGAACTGACAGCACAGTTAAACATAACTCTCTTAGCCACCTCCCGGGGAGACTAAACCTAACGTAACTTTAGATTCGAGAGATGGTTCTGCTATCTTTTGCGACGCCTTCAGTCGACAATGGGACTTTCGACTGGGCTGGGCATTTCCCCCACCCAGCTTAATACCAAGGGTACCAAGCTCACTTAAACAATACCAGGGGAATGTACATCCTGGTAGTTCCACAGTGGACCAAGTGCTTCTGGCTACCGGACGTGCAAGCACGAGCCAAAATAGAGAACCTGCGGAAGGTATTAGTGGATCTAACCACAGGCAGTCACCCTCCACAGGTGGACAAGTTGGCAGCCTTCTACTTTAATAACATATAATGCCCCATTAAAAAGGTGGTTATCATCGTGTAACGATCACCAAGTTAATCCTAAGTTACCAGAGGGTACAGAGGTTGCTAGATTTTTAGCTAAATTATTTTTAGAAGATAGATTAGCTTATAAAACCATTCTTTTACATAAGTCAGCAGTTGCTACATATTGTGCCCCTTCAGGCACAGACATTTCCAAAAATTTCTTTGTACACCACGTCTTAAAAGCCATTTCCCTTGCTAGACCTATCACCCAAAAGTTACCAATATGGGATACAACAATTTTATTTGATTGGCTAAAGACCTCTACCAACACAGGTTCATTATTTAAGACTGCCAGAAGGACCGCATTGATACTCTTATTGGCCCCAGGCCTAGAATACATGACCTAACATTACTAGATATCAGCCCACAAAATATAATCCACAATGACAATGAGATTAGTCTGTGGCCTAAATTTGGATCTAAAACTGATTCTAGTACCCACAGACAGTCAGTCATGTTGGTTGTTGCGGAAGCATCCAATACCTCAAGTTTGCCCTGTTGGGCACATTAAGGACCTCATAGAGATGTCTAAGAGTCGAAGAGAGATGAATACTAATGTCACAAGTCTTTTCCTATCATTGTCAGGGCAGTTGAAACCAGCTTCTAGAACTATGATTGCAGGTTGGATCCGTACAATTTTTAAAGATGTAAAGATCAATGCTCCACCAGGTAGCATCAGGTCCGCTGTAGCCTCAAAAAGTTGGCTAGAAAATAGACCTATTCGGAAAATATTAGACAGAGGAACTGGAACTGGAACTGGAAAGGAATGGAAACTTTCAAGAAGTTCTACTGTCTGCCAGTTCTTAGGACAGAGGACACAAACAACGCTGACCTATTATGTGCCAATTTTTCTACGAGTAATATTTTATTAACTTTTTATTCCTTTAAGTTAATTTTGGAACAGTGCCGGCCCCGAGTATGGGTGTAGTGCGCTCAATCACCTCCCAATCGGTCTTCACTTTACCCGTGATGTCGGCTTCACGTAATCCCCATGTTATAGCCAGCAGTTGGGAGAACTGTACCCGGTACCCTCCCGTGAAGTCAATATCCTTTCCTTCCACCTGCCCAGTGTAGGGCGTACCTCCAAGGGCGGCGAGGTCTGATCCACGGTTGTCTACTTCCATATGTCTTGATGTGGTAATTGCGCATATGTCCCTCGTGTATCTCCAGTCCTGCTCCGCCATATGTCGCAGGAGTTAGTGCGAAAGCCGACGCAGTACTCGCGTCAATTCCGGCCTGCACTGCGTCTTCTATATACATTTGTGTACAGCTTGTTGGGCATGCACCCCGCTGTCTCGCCAGTGACCACAGTGCCAGCCGGGAGCACAGTCTCTCCGCCGGAGCGATCGGTATAGGTATGATCGGGTTTCTGAATCTTAAGGCTAGCAGTGTGCGCGGTGTATAGCCAGTAATGCCGCTACACTCATAACTGCGTCGCAAGAACTCAACCTGGTCCCTTGATATGTACGTCTTGTGCTGGTGCACTTTGTACCCCAGCGTAAGGTACATCGCGACCAAGGCTTCTACAGCTCCTACAGACACCGTCGTGAATATCACGTCGTCGCCCTGCATCGTGCACTTTCCTACCGGTACGGCTACTCCGTAATACTCTAAGCAGTAGCGTGTCGCCACCCGGAAACTGACGATGTTGAGGATAGTGTCTATAAGTGCTGTCCAACGCCAGCCGGACGGTACCCCATTCTCCCAGCTGCGGTGGTCGTTGCCCATGATGACCTCCACCCCCGCAGTTGTGAATGTATCCCACATCCGACTCCATACCTCCCTGTACTGTTCAGGCACACCCGCGTGTCCCATGATATGTTGTTCTATCCCTAGTAGGACAGCTAGTATTGTACTCTTCGACTGGTTGTTATCAAAGCTGGACTGGTCAAGCGGGACCTTAAGCGTACAACTGTTACGCACCTCCGCCAGCCACTCCCTATCTATCGTTTCATTGCCCGCGGCCCCTGCGAACAATGTACTAGTCCGTGAACCGTACAATCCGACCTCAACGAGCCCTGACAGGAAGTCCATCTTGCGGTACAATTCATTTCCCCCTACCACCGCCGGTCTCACTTTCCCCCCCTCGCTCTTTTGCATGATCTTCATATTCTCGCGGCGCGCCTCGCATAGCTCGTACTCTATCTCCCTGTCACTCTTGAGTGCCGCATCCACGCCCTTGTACCTCCTAGTCCTCTTCTCCTTTCCTTCAACCCTTATCAGCGTATTACGCCCCGTCCCTGCCTTTCCCCGCATCCAAACGCCACTCGCAACCCACTCCTCCATCGTCGGCAGTTTTTCCGGCATGGTCCATTCCTCGGACATAAATCTCACTGTCTCGTTTAATATGTCTACGACGTACCTTGCCTCGTCAATACGCTCACCGTTGTGTTTGGTGACAGTGAGCCAATCGTCCACATCTCCGCGCAGTGTGTTAATATCCACGGGTGCCACATATCCACTAAAGGTTTCCCAGTACGTCAACAGTCTCCACTCCTTGTATATGAAAGGTCCGCCTAGCTTGAGCCACCCCGTCGATTCCTTCAGTAGTTTTCTGAGATTATGTGGACAGATGTCGGGTGCCAACTCTCTCAGTCTTCTTTACTCGCTCAAGATGAGGCGAGCCCTACGCCCTGGGTGCATACGTGCCGCCATGTGCAGTCCCTCTTCTATGGTCCCCCTTGGTAACTTACAGCCGTCACACTCATGATTTCTCGGCAGTCGATATCTCTTGAGATTATTGTTGAACTTGGACATAGGTGCCTCCCATCCCCTCTCGTTGCAGCAAGGCTCAAAATGTGACTTCTAGCTCCCTTTGCTTTGCCCGATATAGTGCGGGCGACCACTCCCAATCGGGGGTCATGTTCTTGATAGGTTCTAGATCTACTGGCTGTCCTGCGCCGCCACGTGATCTGCGTTCCTCTCTGCCGCCTCTGCAGAAGCCCCCGGCTTCGTGGTGGGCGGGGCCGGCGCGGCGCCGACATTTGCGACGCCCCCAGGCGCAGTGGGGACATCTGGCGATAATGTGGGCGCCTCGTCCCGAAAACCCGCTGGCTCCGTACCATCCGGCGCTCCCTGCCCGCTCTTCCCTGGTCTGGCGCGGAGGGACCCAATCGTTAGTCGAGAATGGAGGTGGGCTGTCGAGGTGCCCACTGATGTGGAAGCTCTTAGGGGGGCATGCCACCCCTTCCCTTGTGTGAGGTACGCCACCTCGAGGTTGGATACTGCCGATACTGAAAGGGTGAGCACCGTGTACTCCCCTGTCTGGAAGTTGCGCGAGTGAACCCGCAGCCCCCATCCGAACGGTGGCGCCTGCTGTACAACGTTAGTGAGTGGACGGAAACTGCTGACCCAGCCACAGTTTAATCCCACTGTACAACTTATCGGCACAAGATACCCCAAATCCCAGTGATACCCGTTTTAATAAAACTTCAGTACCTCAGAGCGAGTTATTTATTGGTAACTAATAAAGGTTTATATACCCGGACGTGTAACCAAACCATAGCGCGATCTAATTTGCTCGCCAACGCCATCTAGTGACGAAATTACAAACAATTATATAAACTGAATGCGCGAGAGTCAAATAGATATGAACACCCACCACTGTCGTCATTATGGCCGTGTCCACGCGGTAAGAGTATATGTGTGCCTCCTGGTTTATGGGATTTACACACATGCGTATGTCGTCGGGTCCGAGTTCCAGGAGGTTCAGTCTGTTCAATGCATTCTCGAGGCTAGGGCAGTCTATTATGTCAAGTCCTTCATGTCCAACACGATTCTCGAGCCAATGGCCCGAGACCCCCTTCATATGCTGCATCCTTTCAGCCTCTACGAAGGTATAACGTCCTCGCTCTGTTGCGTCACTTAGGTTGAGGGCGAGCGGAGTCCTCACCCCCGTCATGGTCGTCATCACTTCAATCGCCTGCGCGTTCGCCTCCCATGAGAGCTGTGTCCGGCTAGCGATCCCGAGCGCATACTCGCCTATCGCCGACACGGCGTCTGACTCCTCGCCCGCGCTATAGACGATGGTGTCCCAGAATGCCCTATCGTTGCCCATGAGTTCTGGGCTGACGGCTTGATCACCTATGCCGACTCCCCTCTTCCATTCCTCGAACAGCCGTCGTTTCAACATGGCACGCTCAATGTCGTCAAGAGCCATGGCTGTGCCCTCCTCCCCCACGGTGGCACCGCGCTCGCTGTGCACATAGGTGGCTATACCGAGTCCGGTTATCAACTCTGCCTCATTGGTCCATGCACCGACTCTCAGCGCGGGGGCCATGTTGGCTAGTGTCTTGCTGACAAAGACATTGTCCGTGAAAGTGGTAGCGTGGTCGTGGTAGTAAAAACTACTCTCATCGTCAGGTGTGACGCACTCGGGGAGTCCGTCTGTGGCGTAGGCCGCGTCGCAGTAGGCTCCAGGTAGCCAGTGAGTCTCGGAGCCACCCGCCTCGTCATGGTAGATCTCAGGTTGTGGGACGAACCTCATCGTCAACCAAGCAACCAATTCGTCTATTAGGGCCCAATCTACATTGGGCCTTGAGCGGTGTGGGTGAGCGCAAGACCCTATCGAGGCAGGCGGTGAGCATCTCCCCCACTGGCTGTGACCATACACCCTCCGGCTCTCTGTTTCTATCTAGTCCCGCCACTCGCACTTCTACCACTGCTATTTGGATGTCTCTTCTCCGGATCCGGTCACCAGCAAAAACTTGCGTCTCTTATTGTCTATGATGACACAGCACTCATTGCGACGCATCGCGGCCAGCCTGCAGGTCTCAGCCCCCTCTGGTCCAGTCACTACGAATAATTCGTCAACCTCGACGAGAGGGTATGGCGCTGCCAGAACCATTTGGAGCGCCCACATGAGCTGGGGGTTGCCTGATGCATAGTCAATGACGACCACCGCTATGCTGGGGTCGTCGATGAACCACGTCTCCCCCCGTGCTAGCGTCATCGCACGAGTCTGCCGGTGCATTACTTCATCAAGGTGCCTGGCCCCTTCATCGGCAAGCCCCACTCTGTGCCTGTGGGGAAGGCACAACTCATATGCCTCAAGTGGTCATAAAGCCTCATCTTGATTAAATGTCCTGTAATGTCCATGGTGCATACTTGGGATCCGTCAACTAATGTAGCCTGCAATAGGGGGCTGTCGGCTAGGTAGCGCCACACACCTACCCCCTAGCGGCATTTATTCGCCTCCCTTGAGGTGGGGTCATCAACTGTACGCTTGAGATCCGTGGACAGCGCGGTTAGCACCAGTCCCCCCTTGCTGTACACGGGATCTTCTTTGACGCCCACCCACGTCAAGTTAGGCGTCTCGGCCGCCACATTCAATAGATCGTGTTCATCTGCCATCGGGTCGCACCCCATAAGGCTCATAGCCCCTACGTTACGCGCTGCCAGCGCCGAGAGGAACCCGCCTAATTCAACGTTTACGGTTAGCACGCGTCGCGGCACGTGCGATGCCCCGCCACGCCCGTGACATGCGGGTTACCCACATGCTACTAGCCGACGGAGGCGGCGCACTGTGGAATATGGTAGAACAAAGGCATATCAAAATTGATTTTTATCACTGATTGAAATTGGGCACTTTATGAATGTAAATTAAAAGTTCAGAAGTCGAGGTTTAATATTCTGCAGCGTAACTCCTATTGTATTTGGTATAATTTTTTTTTTCATGTAGTAAAGTTAAACGTTTAAGCAATTGGGAAATATTTAGTTGTTTATTTACGTTTTTCAACGTGAAATAGTTTTAAAACTTGAAATGAAAGGTATAAAGTATTATATATTTTTATAAAGCTCATCTATCAGAGGAAATAAATAAATACAATTGATTGTTTTTAATACGAATATATAATTAAAAACCAATTTAAAGAAAAAATGGGGAAAAAATATTCCTTCCTCAACTTCGTCGAAGCTTTTACCATTTAGAGTTGTTTACCGATGCTTTGAATTTAATGGTAATTCATAGGTTAGTTACTCACCTAAAACATATAAAAAAATTAGCTGCGGTTTTTTGCGGTTTACGAAGATATGGGAAAAAATCGAATACTAGTCTGGGAACGGAAATCGCTATCAAATGCGGTTTCGTAGTTTACTTTTATTACCAATAACTTGTGATATGTTTTATGAATTAATTATTTGATATTGTTAAGTTTTTATCATTTCGATGTCATTTTTCGTGAGAAAATAGATATCTGAAATATTCCCACATACTGAAACAATATAAAAAGGGCAGTGAAAAAATATTTCTCCATTACCGTTTCTACCTACTCTAGTACGGTTGTTTCATTATTCAATATGTCGACTTTTAACTGTACTAAACGTGAGTTAATAGTGTCTTATATAGAAGGCGGAAAAACGACTGCGGCACTTTCAACATATTTGGAGGGAAAACAAGTTTCAGAAGACAATATATGTTTTATTATTGGTCATATTCAAAGGGATATCATCCCATCGTTTAATAAACGCTGGAGTGAAGCAGGACGCAATAACAATACCTTTTTAAGAAAGAACACCAATTGGTTGGATTCTGAATATTCGTTAACCATACCAACATCAGAAAACGTGTCAACGGACTCTACACCGTCTACTTCTTCTGGTAAAAGAGGAAGACCGTGTGTGTCATATAGAGACTCTTCACAATCGAGCAAAAAAAGGAAAAACACCGTTTTGCTAAATGAATATGGTTTGGAGCACATTCTAAGCGCATATCTTCAAGGATTGCGTTCTATAGGAGAAGGAACTGAAGCAAAAGCTGTTGAAAAATTAAGGTTGGCTGATGCACAGAAAAAGGTTTTCGTTATAAATCAATTAGATGATGCAAAAATAATTAAAGGGCTTACAGATGAAGAAGCCTTAAGTGTCTTCATCGACTTGGAACTAACAAAGGTACAATATCTGTATCTCAGGAACGTTACAGATGAAAGAAACTGTTCTTTATTTCCACCATACTACAAAATACAAGAAATGAAACAGAGATGCTATCCACCATCATCAACAATCGAAATCACAAATACTTATGCAAAAATATTGAGAGTTCAAGATCTATTAGATCACACTGCAGCTCGAATTTTATGTATAGATACAGTTTACAAGAATGGACAAAAACATTTAATATTATATAGCAAATGGGGTTGTGATGGGTCATCTGGACAAAGCCAGTACAAGCAACCTCTACCAGAGGAGTCTGAACTTATTTCCGATGCAAATTTATTTATTACTTCTTTTGTGCCTATCAGATTAATTGACGAGGAAACAGGCGCCATCATATGGCAAAATCCAGTGCTTTCATCTGTTCGTTTTTGTCGGCCTATATCTATAGAATTTTGCAAAGAAACACCAGAAAAAACTAAATCTGTTGTAGATGAAATAAAAAATCAAATACAAACTTTGCTTCCATCAGTAATTAATAAAGAAGGCGTGGGAGTTCAAGTCAAGCATGAACTTTTTTTGACGATGATAGACGGAAAAGTGGCACAAGTTTTAACAGATACGCCTTCTAGTTCCACATGTACAATATGCGGAGCAACTTCTAGACAAATGAATGATTTAACAAAAGTAACAGCCAGGCCTGAAAATGCTTATGAATACGGATTATCCACATTACATGCCTGGATTCGTTGCATGGAAATGATATTACAAAAATCATATCATCTATCTTTCCAAACGTGGTCTGCTACAAGCGAAGAAAAAAAAAGACTCAAACAAGAAAAAAAGGCTGAAGTACAGAAGCGATTTCGTGAAGAGTTGGGTCTAAATATTGACAAACCACGACAGGGGACGGGAAATAGTAATGATGGCAATACTGCTAGAAGATTTTTTTACAATGCTGCCTGTTCTGCTGATATCACAGGAGTTGACATTGATTTAATTAAACGGTTATACATAATTTTACAGGCTTTGTCATCTGGTATAGTGGTAGATAGTAAGAAATTTGGTAATTATGCTCTGGAAACAGCAAGAATATACGTGAGTAAATTTAGTTGGTATTACATGCCATCATCTGTCCACAAAATTTTAATTCACGGAGAGAGTATCATAAACCATTTCGCAGTATTACCAATCGGATAACTTTCAGAAGATGCTCAAGAATCTCGCAATAAGGACTATAAAAAATTTCGCTTACACCATGCTCGGAAATGCTCTCGAATGAAGATGTGAACGAAGATGTGTTGAATACACTACTTTACACCTCAGATCCATATATAACGAGCATAAGAAACCCATATGCAAAAAATGTTAAGGAGCTCGATGAAGATACTTTACACCTTCTCAAGGTTAATGAACTTATTTCAGATCCTGAAGCTCACAGGGTGTAAGATGTCAATCTTGCTGATCAATAAAGAAATATATATATTGCGATAATTTTAATTCAATAGGTTTCTATATTTAAGCGTAGTGTTATAGGTATTTTTAGATTTTTAATTTTATATAATCATTTTAATGTTAATCATCTTAATTGAGTTATTAGAATTAAAAAATACACATACGATATGTTTGTAAAAAAATATATTTCAATAAATGAATATTATTTTTAATGTTTGTGACTTTCTTCATCAATTAAAAAAAATACGCATCATTCCAATTCATCAAACATTACTTATATGAACTCTTATGTATTACTTTATATTAGAACAAAATTTGATAGCTTTATCTTTCGAATTGACGGAGTTACAGATTTTTAATCCGAAACACACCGAAATATTCCACAGTGCGGCGGCACCGCAGTACCCGTGGTCTCTAAAACACTAGGCGCAGGTGATCCCATACTTGGCTCCCCGCATCGTGATACATGATTGGGAGCTTCACCTGCCATCTCCGGTTGTGCCAGGCTGCCGTAAAACCAAAACAATTGGTGGCGTGTAGGCGGGGCACTAACCAGTCCCACCCCGTTGGCGACGTTGCTGGTGTACACAAGCATGGGCACCTCCTCCTGCGCCACGCGGAGTCTACGCTCCGTTTCCACCTGTATCGCGTGGCGGTGGCGCACCCCTCTTGTCGCCCGCGTCAAGGCCGCTGCCATCACGTCCGCTCTCGCGGTGTCGTGCACTACAGAGAAATTGATGTTACCGTTTAAGGCGTGCATTTCCTGGTTGTGTGCCGCTGCCATGGCCTCAAGAGCGCCGTTGCTACCTGTCAATACTAACGAGGTTAAAGCCTCCGCGTCTAGGTAGGGCTTCTGCCCCTCCAATAGCTTCACGTTCTCCCTGTCCCCTGCCAGGTGCTGAATGACACAGATGGGACACACGCGCTCGGGCAGAAGGAGGGAAACCAAAGGCCTGTTAATTAAAAGGGCCTCCCCTGCCAAACGCGAAATATCCGTCTCCGCACCACTCAGCCCCTGGCTTAGGCTTAACCTTGCCAGTGCTTCCTCCGTTGTGCTCCTCACTAGCTTGCCACCCACGACCTCCACCTTCTTTTCCGGGGGGTTTGCCCAGACCAGAGGTTGATGTTGTTGATAAGCATACTGCCCTCGTTACGGCTGGCGCCGCTACGCCTAAGGCTGTCGAGCGTGACCCTACCCACCAAGGCGGCGCACACTGCTGCGCAGAAGGGGCCGTTGACATGCCATTGGGCGACAAAACCTCTTATACGGGTGTACTGCTCTTTCACCCCCAAGCATTTTGCGTGCCAGCGTGAATGCCGCCGGTCTCATGTTTCGTCTCTTGCGATCGGTGCTGCCCTGTCTCTTTTCCTCCCTGTCACCCCTTTCAGCTGCACCCTCCTCTCGGCCAGTACCGGCGACACCCCCACGTTGCTGATTCGATACCATCATCGGTGAGTACACCATAACTTCGCTCTCCTTATAGAGGAGCGCAACTGCCGCTGGCACCTCCCCCATTGCCAGGCGATTCATATACGCCACTGCCCTGAAGGTACCTAGACCTAGCTCTAGGGTATTGGTGTCCAACGTGTTTTCCCCGTTTCCCCTCCCCACTCAATATCTTCCCTACTGGGCGGCTGTGCCGCCTGTATAGGTAAAGGTGGCGCCGACTGGGATGTTGGCGGCGGTGTGGTCTCCCCCCCTGACGCCTCTGATGAGGTACTAGACAGTCGATGGGACTGAGATATCTCTTCAGCCATCTGGGGTATCTTTACCGTTAACTCAGGCATGTATTTGCGGAGGATTTCCTTCCGTGCGACCGGCTTACTAGGCACGACCCCCCTCTTCTTGGCCATGAGCTCGGCCCTCCTTTTTACCCTCTCGGCGTGTATAGCCTTGTTGCGGTTTGACACCAACGATTCCGCCGCCACACGCCTATTGGGGCTCGAATCTGTACTCTCGCTCTGTACTGAATGGTACTGGTCTTCTACGTCACGCCCCCGACTCGACTCACCCGTCGGAAACGTGTTGTTTGCATCCTCCTCACACTGCTCTAGTCCACCCATGGTGGGACGTCTCTCCCAAACCTCTTCTGCTACCTCTTTCTTCGCCCTCGCCCGCTTCAACACCCCCTTCTGCCTGGTACGTGGGGTTTCGGGCTGTGACATGAGCGGTACTGCTCCAGCTTAAAGAAAAAACTGCTCTGACGAGCTTGGCCCTTCCTGCTTACTTGCCGTTGTCGCGTTGCACATACAACAGACGTTCGGTCAGATGGGTCCTTTGCTAAACAAAAAAGATGCGGAGCTTAAGTCTCAACGCTATCGCAATTCAAAGCTGTACGTTCGGCCCAGGAAAATTCTTCCTGGGAGAAAACCAACAATAAATTCGGTCCGTCAATTCAATAAAGTCCGTGTGGTGACGGATTAAGAATACAAATTGTCACCACCCCGATTCATCCCGTGGGTGTCGTAAGATCCGACTAAGGGAGCAAACCAAGCAGGACAACAGCACTGCAAAGAGAAGGAAAACTTGAAACAAAACCTATACCAACCCGTGGACTTCGTAAGTCATCGCTTGGTTCATTAGGTAAATCTGAAGGTTGTGATGTTTGTAGTGGATTTTCTTAATTAGGACTAATATTATCGGGAGTGTTAGGATTTAGAGAGCGTCTGTTGTCAGGATATATAGGATTCACTGGGTACCAGGAGAGGATATCGGCTGCGGAATTTAGTTTACCCTTACGGTAAATAATTTCGTAATCGTATTCCTCTAATTTTAACCTCCACCGTTGGAGCTCACTGCTAGGATCTTTATAATTATTAATAATTAAATATATAATATATAAAAAAAAAATATATATATATTAATAATTATTAATATTATGATTAAATAACTACTTAAGCGGTCTATGGTCGGTAATGATAAGGAATGTATGTCCATAGAGGTAGGGACGAAATGTTTTACAGCCGTATAATATAGCCAACAACTCTTTTTCAGTCGTGCTATAATTTGATTCACTTTTATTAAGTGTGCGCGAAGCATAAGCTACGGGTTGGTCTCTACCAACAGGTCCTTGCGAAAGTACGGCACCGACGGCATAGTTGGATGCATCACGGGAGAGAATGAAAGGTAGGGAAAAGTCAGGATAGATAAGAAGTGGTGCGGTTGTCAGATTGTGTTTTAATGTGTCAAAAGCAAGTTGTTGTTGGTTTTCCCATTTGAATGGTGTTTCCTTTTTTAAGAGGCTAGTAAAGGCTTTTGCGGTCTTGGAGAAATTGGGAATAAAGCGACGATAGTAGGAAACAAGACCTAGAAATGATTTTATATCTTTAGGCGTTTTTGGAACTGCAAATGCGGTTACAGCTTTGACTTTATCGGGATTTGGTTTAACACCATTTTCAGTAATAATGTGCCCGAAGATAACCAACTTCACGTCGAAGAAATTCGCATTTATCTGGTTGTAGTTTGAGATTGAAATCTCGGATTCTTTTTAAAATCTCTTTTAGGTTGCGGATACTCGTTTCAAGGTCAAATCACACACACAAAGTACACAAAACACCGGATAGGACGGAGTTCATAAGTCTCTGAAATGTTGAAGGAGCGTTTTTAAGCCTGAATGGCATTCTTGAGAATTGGAAATGTCCTTCAGGAACAGTGAAAGCGGTTTTGGGTTTGTCGGCTTCATTTCGGCTAAATCGGCTAAATCTAGGGTTGAGAAGTATTTACTGTTACCAAGTTGATCAAGGATCTCGGTGATTTGGGAAATAGGATAAGTATCACCGATTGTTACGTCAGTAAGCTTACGGTAGTCGATTACTACACTCCATTTTTGAATATTAGAAGCATCAAGCTTTTTAGGGACCACCCATATTGGCGATGACCAGGGGGAATCAGAGGGTTCTATAATTTCCTGTTCCAGCATTTTATCCATTTGTCTACGGACTTCGGCTTTATGTATTTCGGGGAATCTGTAAGATTTAGTGTGTATTGGTATGTCCGTCGTAGTTTTAATTTCATGTTTTAGGGCATTAGTATGGGTAAGATTTTCTCCTGGAAGATGGAATATGTCAGAGAAGTCGGCACATAATTGCAGAAGAGTGGTTTTTTCTTCTTCGTTTAAATGTGATACGCGTAACTGTTTTAATACTTCTGCTGTACGCTCGACGCTATTGTTTGAAACTCGTATATGGTTTATTGAACTAGCTGGTTGTTCCTTAAATTCTGAAGGTGCAATAGGATTAAGTTTTAGGTTTAGGTTCGAATTTAATGTAATGGGTTTATCGGAAGTGTAAGCGACGGATATGTTAATTCGATTGTTTTCTTTTACGCGTACTATGCAATTGGAAATAAGGTCTCTGAAAACTTCTGATCGAGGATTACCCCTACTTTTATCTCAGGATTAGACACAGAACACTCAATAATGGTTTCGGTTCTAGCAGGAATTAAGTAAGCGAGATCATGAAAGTGTAATTTTAAGGATGATTTACCCAGATGGAGCAGATTATTATTATAATTAATGTTGCATTTATGCATATTCAGCATATCGGAGCCGATAATTCCATCATAAGGTAAATGTATTACGTCAATGAAGTGGAAGCGATGTGATATTGTGGATTTAGAAAGCTGTAATTTTAATCGGAAATGGCCTCGAGTATTGATGGGTTCTTCTTTCGAGCCAATGCCTTTTAATTGGATCGTTTCTTTGATAAGTCTAGGGTGCTTTTCGAAACTTACAGATGACCCTGAGTCCACTAACAAGGATAGCGGGATGTCTGATACGGAGGAATTAACTAGAACGTGTGGTAATAATGTTTTTGCAGGGTTATTTGTAATTTCAAAAACATTTGATTGAGAAGGTTTTGGCGGTTCACCTTGTTTTTGTATCGATACAGTGGAATTAGGCAGACCAACATGATGTTGTTGCACGGATACAGTGGATTTTAGCAGATCAACATGACGTTGATGCGTGGATACAGTGGATTTTGGCATATCAATATGACGTTGCTGCGCGGATACAGTGGATTTTGGCAGATCAACATGACGTTGCTGCGCGGATACAGAGGATTTTGGCAGGTCAACATGATGTTGCTACACGGATACAGTGGATTTTGGCAGATCAACATGACGTTGCTGCGCGGATACAGTGGATTTTGGCAGATCAACATGACGTTGTTGCGCGGATACAGAGGATTTTGGTAGATCAACATGATGTTGTGATGCCGTTTTTTGAATTATGACGTCCCGCACGGCACCGGGACGAGACGATTACTCGTTTTTTGTATCAGCATCAACGGTATCATAACCCTCTGTGGGGTTAGCCGAATATCCATCGTTATTGTCTGAGGATTCGTCGGAAATGAAGTTGACGCGCTATGGCGTTCTTTGCTGATTTGGGTCGAAATTCTTGAAACGGTTGTTGTTGAACTTCCCTTCCGACATTGCTCTAAGGTATGACCTGGCGTTTTACAGTACCTACAGAATTGAGTAGAAGAATTGTTGTAGTTATTATTAGATCTGTTAGGTTTTACGTTGTACTGGTTTGAGGTCGAGGGTTGCTGATTTTGGTTACGACGAATAAATTGAGTGTTTAGTTTTGTAGAGTTTGACCTATCTTGTCGTGGTTGTTGAGTGCTTAACAAATTCGGACCTTGACTTGATAGGGACTGTTGCATTTTTTCTTTTGAAATAGCCATATTTATGGCTTCATTTAGAGTTTTTATTGGTTTACCCCTGACAATGTTAAAGATACGAGGTGTCAGTCCCATTTGGAAATGATGGAGGGCTAAATCCTCCATGGCTGCCGTTCGTCCTATCATCTCTCGACTTTTATGACCGTGTTAGATCGGTTAACAGATGAGATAGGCATGTCTCGATCCTAGATCCTAGCATATTGACTTACATTTTCATTTATTTGTTGTTTACACTCCTGTAAATCTGTTAAAAGATGGGCATAGTGCTTTCTTTCGCTGAATTGTGTTTTTAGAAATTCTTTCAGTTGTTGCCAATTTGAAAATTCTTTGATGGAGCATGCGGTTTCCGCCTTGCCCTTTAGTTAGCATAGAATGTATTTAAAGAGTATGTCTTTTTGTGATTCTGATGCTAGTTCATAAGCATTATTGCAGGTTACTAAGAAGGAATTTAGTTTTTCTCTGCAGCCATCGTATGGCTTTATGAATTTTAATAACGTGGAAAGCTCAATTTGTAATTTAGATTTTACAGTTTTAATGTTTTTTGATTGTGATCTAGTAGAAGGTCATTGAGGGGGAGGGCAGAGGCCTTGGCCTTCCTCTTCGGTATCAGTAATGTTAATTTCCAATTTTGGACTTTGGGATCTCTCAGTTATCTTAATGATTACAAATACACAACAAGGTTGAAATAACAATAATTTGAACAATATACGTGTGTGACAAAATACGTTAGAGAAAAGAGTAATGATATTTAAAAAAGGCTCAAATATAATGTATTAGTTTTAAATAAGATATTAGCAATGACCAAATAGTAGGCCAAAACCTCCTTTCTAAGGAGAGGCCTATGTCCAGCAGTGGACTAGTATAGGCTGTTGATGATGATGATGATGAATGACCAAGTGTATGGTTTCACTTACTGGAATGCGGACAGCGCGATAAGAATAACGAACATGGTTTCTTGGAAGAATCACAGGCGAAGCGTAGGCGTTGATAAGCCGAAGGTCGTCGCGTCGTTGGAGATATTACACCGGTCACAGCACTAACTTGGCGTGACAATGGGTGTAATCCTTCTGGTTCTGGACAAAGACCGGCTGCAGCACGGGTGGTGCACAGCAATGGGCCTTTCAAAAGCTTTATCACGAACACTGACGTCCAGAAGTCGGGCTCGAACTCGGTGCACTGAAACTTTGTACACTATGGAGTGGGCAATTACACTCAAATACACTAGCGTCGAATTTGAACTTTTTAAGAGACGTACCGGGGACTCTTTTCGAATCCCTTAACGCTGCCACCAAATATGTTACGAGTCTCGGGGAACTTGTCTTTTTAAAAAGAAATAAAATACTAAAATAGGGTTGAGACAACCGTCTGGCTTGGATGTCGGGATGAGACTGGTGATGAGTGGACGGGTCGTTCGGCTGTTGATGGAGAAATGCTGAGTGTGCAGAGTAGAAGTGTGGGGTGTGCAAGAATGCATGAATAAGGGAGCTCTAACAGAACGTCGCGATAATAAACTTTCGCTGTAACATACATCGCGATTATGAACTTCGCAATTATGACTTACACCCGAGTAAAACCTGTCAAATTGATAGATTAAAGAGAACCTTACATATGATATTTAAAACGTTAACAAGGTTAACAATAAATATTAATAAAATGTACTTACAAGGAACTTTTCACATTTCGATATTCAGATGAGCAAAAATCCTTATTTGATGAAAGAAAATCTCCCAACATCAACAAGTACATCCTGGGCAAATTACAGCTATTTACCTTAATAAAACCTTGTTCCATCGTCGATGATTCTTGGATCTTTTATCTTTATGACAATAACCACGAATAAATCAGAAATCAACTAATTAAATATTGCAACAACAACTTGAAAAGTGTAAACACAAACAAAATTCGTAAGATTCTGTGATGTTTACTTAGGCGTGACGTAAATCGCTTTGATTGGTGTTTCAGCTAAGACAGTGTTGCCAAAGATGTAGATGATGTGCCAAATGTTGGTAGAATGTAAAATGCAAAATTGGTAGATCTACCACCTCAATTTAGAAGATTTTTTAAGAATAAAAGTGCATAAACTGTTCTTAACCTCCGACGCGTCGCCGTCACAACAGTTGTGACACCAATTTTTTACGCGGTAGCGTCTCTGTCACAACATTTAGAAGAATATATATCAGGGATTCCAAATACGTTTATTTCATTGAATATCCGCGACGTCCTAAGAGTTAAAATGTTTATTTTTGGAAATTATACATATTTTTATTGAAAATTTTTAAATGTTCTGCGCTAGGCTGCTCGTTGTTTGCTATGAATCTTTTAGTACGCAACAATCCCTGTAGAGTCTCCGTGCAAATTCTATTTCTCTGAAAGGTTTTCATATTATTAATTGCAGAAAACAATCTCACAACGTTGGCGCTACTGTGTGGAAGTGCGAGTAATTTTCTCACGAATTCGCATAGCAGGGGAAACATTGGAGACTGGTCTCCTTTTTTAATGGATGAAACATGCTTCCACAATTCTTCAGGTGTAGGATCCACATTTTTTTTTCTGTGAAATGAAATGTCATGTTTCTTAATAATTTCCACTCTCGATCCATTTCGGTCATGTTTTCTGGGCATAGTCCTAAAAATAAAAATGTAATGTAAAGAAAAAAAAAATTCTAGAGTGGACAACATTAATAATTAATTATGTTTAACTTGCCTGGAAACTGAACTCCTAAATGAGCAATAGTTGTGACTGCATGTTTTTCAATGATATGTTTAGGATTCATAAATTTAAGACATTTTAATCTTTGCTTTTCATTAAAACAAAAAGGCTGCTTTATTTGTTTTACACTCTCCATATAAAAGAGAATGCATTTTTCTTTAAACTGTACTATTTCCATTTCATTCATTTTATCCACAAAGTCTTGATTCAATAACAGGGAAATAACATTGCCACCAAGATATATTTCTTCAATTGGTACATGGTTTTGTTTACAGTAGAATCCGGATATAACGACCTTCAAGGGACCGGCGATACTATGTCGTACTAACCGGATGACGTACAAAACGGCAGGATTATTTCTTAAGTATATAAGTCCTTAACTTACGAATACGTATGTATTATAAATGCGAAAGTTTGATTTTCCTATTTAGGTAAATAAAACATTTTGTAGGAATCACATATGCTTTATTTTAATGGTTCCTAAACATTTCAAATTACAAACATAGGTAAATAATGTACTGTGATACAAAGAGATAAAATACACACGCAATACACGAAAAAACTCAGTGTTACAAACGTAGAAAGTCTGTTATTTGAGTTTGTTTTTGACAAACTTTTGTTCGGTAGTAAGAACTTCGTACAGCATTGTGAATTCGTGACATCATTGTTTTCATAAGATCATCATCGAAGTTAGTCTGAACAAACACATTGAGCGTTTCCGCAGCCTTCAGAGCTTCAGACACACTCAAGGTTGAATGAATCTCCTCTGGTTCGTCATCATCACCGTCGCTATCTTTGCTATTCGTGTCGTTGGCGATGATATTTTCCACAATTTTTTCATCAGACGGTTCTTCACAAGTGGCGACAGCATCATCGACACACGCGTATTGTTCAAAGTCCTCGTTTGTTATGGCTAACTGATGCTTATCAATAGCCCTCGCCCAAATGCTCAGCGGAACGTCGTCTTCTTCGTCAAAATCATCTGCGTTCGAAGTTATAGTACTTTCTACATTGCTTCGGACAAAACCAGCGTGTTTGTAACAGTTAACAATTGTCCCTTGCTTGAGTTGGGTCCAGGCATCTTGAATCATTAGAATAGCATCAAGAACAGTAATCTTTGGGTACTCAACACTACTGCTTCCGCAGCCGTCTAGTAACTGGATCATTTTCAGGACAAGGTTTTTACGAAAATGTGATTTCAAAGCTCGAATAATCCCTTGATCCATGGGTTGCAACACTGATGTCGTGTTTGGAGGTAGAAACACCAGGGTTATGCTTTTCAAGTTTTCAATATGGGCATGTGCAGGACAATTATCAACTAACAGCAGGATTTTCTTGCTCTTTTTCGTAAGTTCACGATCTCATGCGCGTACCCATTTGTTAAAAATTTCAGCAGTCATCCAGGCTCTTCGATTGCTCTCATAATCCACTGGCAAATGCCGTACATTTTTAAAACATCTGGGACGTTGAGATTTTCCGATTTCAAGTTTTTTTCTAACAGTGCCACTCATGTTGGTTGCCACCATCAAAGTTATTCTCTCCTTTGATAATTTTCCTCCTTTACATTTTTCACCTTTAAATTTTAATGTCTTGTCTGAAGTTAGTTTATAAAACAGCCCGGTCTCATCTGCATTAAAAATTTCATCATCTCTAAATTGCGCACGTAGAGTAGGCCCAACCTTTTCTAACCAATCGACTACATCACCTTGTTGAACTGATAAAGATTCGCCAGCAATCTTACCACTGACGATATTGTGTCTTACATTAAAACGGTTTATCCAATTCATGGAACATGTGAAATTTTGCATGTCTAACTGTCTATCGAAAAAGTTTGCTTTCTCTTGTAGCAGAGGTCCATTAACGGGTATTCCCCGGTCGCGCTGAAGCTTGAACCACTGTAACAATGCCTTATCCAGCTGGTCATGAGTAGAAGTCCTTACACGTTTGCATTTCAAAACATTGGCATTAAACAGCGGCTCGATCTTATCTTTATTCTTCTTTATTGTTTATATCGTAGAATGAGATACGCCAAACTCCTTTGCGAGGGTTGCATTTGATTCACCGGCTTCTAATCGGTATAATATTGCACTTTTTTCTTCAATTGTAAAATACTTTCGCTTCACAGAACCCATTTTGTCGAGCTTTAAGAACTTGTCATAACAGGTGACAAACACTAACTGTGATTTACGCGCGCCGATAAGGAGAGGTAAAGCGCGCGGGGCGAGGTGAAGTTGGGGCGCCGAGGTATTAGTGCGTAGGTTGTGTAAACAAAAACATTGCGCGTCGTTTTAACCGGACGTATTATCATAATAAATACTGGTCGCTATAAGCAGTTAGTCGCTTAAACCGGAGTCGCACTAAACGATTATATTTTCACAGTACCTAAATATGAAACCTAACTTGAGTAAACATTATCGTCGCTAAAATCGGTTAGTCGTTATAAGCGAAGTCGTTATATATGAATTCTACTATTTTCATATTCTAAATTCTAAATTTTGTTCTCTAAATCCAAGTTAAAATCCTTGCTACTGTTTTTTTACCTTCAGTCAGCTGCAGTAATTCTGGTTTAATAAAACATTCCAAGATAGTTTTGTATGTTGTAAAAATCCGTTCATATAACAAATAAAATTTAGGACTTTCTGATTGCATTTCTTGATTAATGTCATGGAAATAGGGCAACACATAATCCAAAATATTGAAGTATAGCTCTGTTGAAGGATCTAACGACTTCATATGGATGGTCTGTGCTGCAAGTAGCCTGTCATTCAAAACAGCATTTTGGAAGTATAACTTTAAAGCTGGAAGCTGTTCTAAAAGCCGTTTGACCACAGGAAGTAGAGAAAACCATCTTGTTTGAGCTGGGTGTAGAAGTTTGTGGGGTTTTATATCCAGAAAGGACTGGAATTCTTTATAGTCACCCAGAGGTTTTGGGCTATTTTGGATATAATTGTAGACATCTCTTGCAAAATCCTCTACACCCCTAGGAAGAGTTTCGCAGGCATAAGAAGCACACAAATGAAACGAGTGGCAAATGCACTTCATCATGAATAAATGTGGGATCTCATTTGCAAATAGGGTGGACAATGAATGGTGTGAACCAAACATAGTATTTGCACCATCAGCTGCAAACCCAATCATATTCTCCTTATAAGGAATATTTTCATTATTAATATTCTTTGCATTCATTATCGCACAGTCGCGTCGCGTACGCGTTGTCGTACAGACGTGTGAGTCGAATCATGGCCTCCAAATTGTTAAAATGTTCGAGCTGTAACATAGTTATCAACGAAGTTCTTGCCTTTGTTTCTAACAAAATTGATGTGATGAACGAGGAGAGTATTAGTCAAATTTGTGTGAGTGCATTTACTGACGAGGACATTCACAGTGCTAAAAATCTTCTATGTGAATCGCTGCCTACAGAGAGGCGTAAGAAGACACGGAAGAGAGACGGGAAGAAATTACGTGAAATAGACGACATCATCTGCATGCTGAAAGAGTCTGATCCTGAAATCTTACCGGTTTTTGTGGCCCGGGATCTACACAAATTACCGCCGGTGCTTTTTGATCATGTCGACGTTACTCGGATTTTAAAGGATCTGATGATTATGCGGCAAGATATGAATCAGATGAAAGAAGAGTATGCCACCAAGGCAAACCTAGATTCTGTTAAATCTGATCTTGAAAACCTAAAAAAGACATCAGTAGTGAAAAATTTTGAAAGTACCGCCCGGAATGTTAATACCAAGCGAGGTGGCTTATTGCTAGATAGTCACAACGACCACTGCAACGATCCTAGGGGGCTTGCATACATAGACACAGAACGCACTTTACGTAAAAGTTCTAGCGGTATACGAACAGAAAATATCAAGCGGGATAGCTCTCAATGTTTTTCTAAAAATGAGGGTAGTCCGAAAATTTGCGGTGAAACCCAACTTGTAAATTCTAGCAGTGTATGCTTTACTGAGGCCTATGACGAGCGCGAGTCGATGACTCACCCGCAAGTGGCTGCGAACGCCGTAACTAGCGAAACGGGACACACGGCCGCTCCGGACGTAAACAGCGACGTATCCGGTAAAAATAAATCTTTAGCTGATATTGTAATCAATGGTAAATGGAAAATACCCAAAGAAGATAAAGGTTGGACCCTAGTACAAAGAAGACGTCTAAGGAACCGATTTGTCGCAAATACAGGAAAGGCAATTTTGAGTCCCGAAGCGAGTTTCAAAGCTGCGGAAAAAAAATTCCTATCTATATATACAATTTTGCAAAGGACGTGCCTGTGTGTGACATACAGAGGTATATTGAGAGTAAAACTGATGTTACTGTACACTTAGAAAAAATGAATATGAAAATACCCAAATTGTATGACGCCTACAAGGTATTAGTACCGAAGCATCAACTAGGAATATTTCTGAATGATGATTTCTGGCCAGAAGGCGTCGCATACCGTCGTTTTGTTGACTTCAAGACAAGAAGTAAAAATATAAACAGTGGAGAAAAATTGTCCGTGTGTAGCCCAACGTTTAATAGGAATATGAATAATTACGCTAGACTTGTTACATTTAACTGCAAAAATATTGTAAGATCTGTGGAATGTGTAAGAAAAATATGTGAAACAGCGGATATTATAGCACTTCAGGAAACGTGGCTGCTGCCACACGACATACCATTCCTGGGCAGCATCAGCGACCAATTCGCTTTCACTGGCAAGTCTGCGGTGGACCCTACTGCTCCGAGGCCGCCCGTACGGAGGGGTGGCGGTGCTGTGGAGGAAGTCTGTGTTTCCCTCAGTGTCAGTGTTGCAGTGCAGTAGTGACCGCATAGCAGCAATTAAAGTTGAATTACGTGAGCGTTCTATGGTAATTATATCTCTGTACATGCCAACGGACTCAATAGATAATTTGATCGAGTTTACGGAGTGTCTAAGTGAAATAAATTCTATAATTGAAAATAGTGATGAAGAATCAGTGTACGTTTTAGGGGATTTCAATGCGCATCCGGGTGAGTTATTCGCTAATCAACTCTTAGACTTTTGTGCAGAACAGTCTTGGTCCTGTGTTGATCTCGATATGTTACCTAACGATTCACACACTTTTGTTAGGAATCTTC